TCATGGGGGACTAATGTTCATGGATTTATTTTGTCAACATATTTACTGTAAAAGCAGACATATTCGTTGGAGATTAATTTACATTTATTTCGTTGTTAAATCGTGTTTCGTCGTAATCTCACATGAAATTTTCATTTGACTATATATTGAATAGGGTTACTATTGAAACAACAAAATTAAATGCCCATGAAACCTTTTTAGATGACAACAAAAATTTTTTTCCCATGAAAATCTGTGCTTCTATAGTATTCATTGATTCTTCTGTATATACGACTTACCCTTGAAAGTATGTCCTCACAAACCAACAAAATTTTGCTTGCCCACAAACATTGACAAATTAAAATGATTCCACAGTAGCTGTGTAATGAAGGTAGATGTAGTTCACATTTGAAAAGGAGTCACTCAAAACAGTAGGGTGCATATGCAGGTTTAACTGTCCAACACAAAGCACAGTAAAATACAGCTAGTGGATATCTCTAGTAGAGTACCAAACTTAAATATGGATATCTGCTTTTATAGTTTGCTGTATCAGATTTCTTCAATTTCTCTGAACATTATATATTCCATGTAACAATTAATATTCATTGTAAACAAGCTGTACAGTTTTTCAGTAAATCTCAAGCATCATATATTCATTTACCAATACATGTACTATGTTGATAGATGATTTCAATTTAATTATTTTTTATCCTATTTGGTAGAAATTGGGCAATATTTTACTTGGATATATATGTACCGGTATATACATACCATTTAGGCATGAATTTAGTGGAAAATAATTTAGATGACACCCACAGACTGTAATAAATGACAGTGATCATTTTTTTTGTTTTCAGGGTGCTTACTACATGAGGATGGGACAGTATTAAAACCGGTGCAGTATCCCCCAAAAGGTCAGAGGGAGGTGGAGTTTTATCAGGAAGTGTTTGCAGACCAAATGTCCGACGATAAAGTGTTGCTACAATTGCGTGACCTGGTGCCAAAATTTCATGGAATGGTGCATTCACCAAAAGAATCTGATGGTAAAACAATTAATAGTTTTATAATTTTTTAAAGTTTTTAAACCTTTCCAAATTAAATCATATTGTAAAAATACTTATATTTATTTGGAAACAAGCAATTCAGAGAATTGTGGTTCCCCTTATTTCAGGGTGTTATTGGCTGGGTTGCAGTGATCTTTGGAATATAGTAACCGTCTTGTCTGCCCTGTCTTGTTTGTCTATCATACTAAAAAAGGTTTTACATTTTTGACGAAGAGATATAATTTATTATATTTTTTAGGCCACCTTTTGTGGGGTCTTGTAAAATTCTTCTTTTTAGAAGCACTGGGCATGAAAAGCTGAAACTTACAGTAAGTTTCAGCTTTACTGACCCAGTGCTTCTTGAAAAGAAGAATACATGAAAGCTTTTAATATGGTGTAGATTTAAGTTTGTTCAAATTATGGCCCCCAGGGGTAGGGTGGGCCACAATAGGGGATCAAATTATCTAGGGAAAAATCTTTAAAATTCTTCTACTTGATAATTTAACAGCAAGATCATTATTTTTACTACATGTAGTAATATACAAGCATCTTCAGGTAGTGTAGATTCAAGTCTGTTTAGATAATGGCCCCCCAAGTTTGTTCAAATCATGGCCCTAGTGGGGGGGGGGGGGGGGTTAGAGCATCAAAGTTTTACATGGGAATGTAAAGGAAATAATATTTTAAAACCTCAAAAACTGGGATTAGAGTAGGCTAAATTTGGGGATAAAATTTTACTGAAAGCTTGTATACAGGAAAAGAAAACACCTAGGCCATATTAGTAATATTATTAATGAAGCATCCCCAGGTTGTGTGAATTCAAGTTAGATTATAATATATGACCCATTAGGGCTAGAGTGGGGCCACAATATGAAGTCAAATATTTTCTTGTCAATGAAGGGGGTGGGGGTTAAATCATCTTAAGGAGAAAAGCTTGGCCATGCTGACTCAGGTGAGGATTGTAGCCCATGGGCCTCTAATACATTCTGAACACATTGCCCACATTAAAACTACATACATGTACACCTAGCTGCAATTATGTAACCTTGCCTGATTTTTATGATTTTGAATTTTAATACTGCAAATTCTCTGCAAAAGACAACATAAAAATCTAGCAGGGCTACATTATTGCAGCTAATGTACACTTTGTGTGAAAGTTATGTTACACGAGGGTCAAACTTTACATAGATCATAGTACAAACTTTACATAGATCGTAGTACATACGGAAAGATTTCGTCACAGGTACTGTTGAAATGCACATGTGAAATACGAACATGGCCAAGGCTTTAATTTTTTAAAAGTAGGTCAAGCTTCAAGGTCATGAGGTCAAAATTCATAAAACATTCAGAAAGGTCTTGTTACAGGTAATGCACTTATTAAATATGAAAGCTCTATCTTCTCTCTTTGAAAAGTTATGACCAAGGTTCAAGTTGTGTGGATATGAATGAGATTAAATATCCCAGCACTTTTGCATAAGTGGAGACAAAAAAGATCAGCCAGAAGATGAATTAACTAATTTCCATTATTTACCAGTTGGTGACTTCTAGCAATTTTATGTTAATGATTGTTCAATAAATGTGGGCAAACATGCATAAAAATGTGATTGCAATTTTTTTTTTGTACCGTATTTGACTTGTGGAAACTTTTTGTATGAATAGCGTAAGCTGTTGGGTTACATGACAGAGAGTTTGTTTGCGGACTTTAGTTGACCAGCTTGTGAATGTTCACATATTTGTTTCACCATACTTCAATTTATATTGACTAAATAAAGTTTTTCCTCATACATCATTGTTGATTTATTTGAAATGGCATGCCCAATGGTTAAATATTGATTTTTTTTTCTAGAAACATATTCAACAAAGCAATTTAACAGAAGAGAGTTAAATGAATATTGATCATAGTTTGAATTATCAAATGCCTTTTACTTTCAGTCAATTGAAAACAGATATTGAGCAAAGATTTATGATGCTTGTCAATGGCCATTTAACATTTTATTAAATCAAACTTAATGTCAGTATAATTTTTCAATGAGCAAAACATTTATGATATGATATAATATAACAGGCTTCGATAATGCAGTTCTGTGGTGAAGATATCCTAAAACTAATCTTTTTTTCAAAGATTACATGTATACTTATATATAAAAGATATTCAATAAATGTACATGCATCATTTTTCCCTCATCCTCCTGTCCATCATACATGACAATATAAATAAATTCATACCTGCTTCACTTTGAATATATGATAAAGGTACATGTAACTCTTTTATTAAACTTCTCAAACTTACTATGTGCACAGTGTCTAGATTAAGAGCAACTAGTATTGTCAATTAGTACTGACAATTAAAAACACCTAACTTGCAAAGATTCTCACCCACAAAAGAAATTAACAGAAATGTAGTTAGTTTTAAAATAAATCAAGATATCATAATTGCAAGCTAGCTGTAGGATATGTAATGTACAGCTATTCAAAGCTAAGGGACGTAACTTTAACAATAACTTCCCAACAAAATATTTTATGTAGATTCGAAACTCTTTGGTAAATTCAATAAAGACATTGTATGGTACATCTTCTTAGTATAGAGTAATAGTCTGAGTTGCCATATAAATTTCTAGAAGTAAAAAATGTTCATTTTATAATATAGCAAACAGCAAAACATACTTTACAATTATAATCATGTCTGTTCTTTATCATCATTGGAAACCATGGTTTTGAGTCCACAATCTCCCTCAAGCCGGGATGAAGAGAATCAAAGTGAATCACTATTGTGATGGGTTTTTTTAATTAGTTTTATAAATGTTGTCTTAATTTTTTTTTTGTAAACAGTTATAGACGTCACTATGCCCAATTGTATTTTACTGATCAGGTTATATTTCCCGTCAGATACTGAAATTATGCTATGATTATTTTCTTTGTGTGTGTTCACTCTTTTAGTCAAAATAATAGTCTAATAATAATAATTTAATAGAGTGGTATTTTAATATATACATGTAATTGTCTGTTTGCCAAAGAATTTAAACTTGAAAAAATACATATATTGCATCCTAATTCTAACTACTCTGCATTTTGTGTTTTCAGCACGCTTCATGAAACTTGAGAACCTACTATTGGACATGAAACATCCATGTGTTCTGGACATTAAAATGGGCAGGAAAACATATGATCCACTGGCCTCACAGGAGAAAATAGCCATGGAAATTGCCAAGTTTCCTCCTGCAAAGAACATAGGCTACCAGATCTCTGGAATGCAGGTATGTGTAGAGTGAAAGCTTATACTGTAAACATGGAATTGTTCACATGGGGGGGGGGGGGATTAGTATAGTTTTACAAAATTTATAACCTCACAAAAGGTTTCATATAAGGTACTACATGTTACTAAACAACAAAGTAACATACTTCGTAAAATTTTGAACTTCTGCAAAAATAAGTCCCACTTGAACACTTTCTTTCATGGAAATCACAAAATTTTACCTGGGAAAAATATCCACGTTTATAATATCCAAGAAAGACTAAAAGACAATCATCATTATTTTTTTCTATGTATTTAAATGTGTTCAAGTTTCTAATTTATAAATGACTGCCAGTCACATAAAGATTTTTTTTACAACACAAAATTGATTTTCCTCCCTTTGATGGACTTCTTTTTCCCTGTCAGACATACAGTCCAAGCACTGGGAAAGCTCAGAAGTTTGACAAGTACTTCTGTAAAAACTTAAATGAAGAATCCATTGTTTTTCAAGGTAAAGTTGAATGAAGTTGACATTAATTAAGGCATTCTTTACTTACACAGTAATATTTTTTCTCTGATAAGACCGTCTTGTTAAGTATTCTCAATTCAGTTTTAATATTTTGAATGATCTGGTTGAAATTTCACGCCTTGGTGTTTGCAGGTTTTGGAAAATTCTTCTCCCTAGATGGCGTTTTGCAAAAGGAAGTGATAAAAGCGGTGATTGTGGGGCTGAAAGAAATTTTAGAATGGTTCAATAAACAGCGGACCTTTCACTTTTACGCCAGTTCCATTTTAATTGTGTTCGATGGTGATGCGTCCTCCCCACTATCATTTAGAACTTCCACGTCTTCCTCTGGTCTTAAGGGGAGCGTCGCTGAAAATTGCTGTAATGGCGATACAGACTCTATAATTGAAAATGATTTCTCCAATGTGATCTCCAGTGATTTTGTAGATACAATGACATACAGTCAGTCAGAAGCTGTTAATCCTAAAGTTCAAGTGCGTATGATAGATTTTGCTCATGTCTACCATATGCCCGAAGAGGATGAAAATTATATTTTTGGATTGAAACATTTGATTGATGATTTACATAGATTGTTAAAAAGTTAGTAAAGCATTACCTGTTAAGGCATTATTATATTATGAAAAATTTAAGACTGTAGTGTTTTAAGTCTACTGTGAAGGTTGCTGATATTTATTTTGTGGTAAATAATATATATTAAGAGACTTGTTGAGCAAGTAAAGGTATGAGTATGATGTAACAAAAGTGATGAAACAAGTATCAAAAGTGATAGAACAAAATGTATTTGGGAATGAAAATATCCCTTTATAAGTCATGGTGCAAAAATTGTTGACTGTTTTATTCCTTTGTTATATGTAATGAATGTGTAAATTGTTCTACAAATAATTATTGTCTGTTGTACTCTCAGATTTTAAAATTAGGTGCTCCTTGTTTTCTTGTTTCTTTTTTTTTTCTCCCTTAATTTTCTGAAGACTTTTAATCATTTGCAGAAGTATAGTGCAAGTTGAATTTCTGTATTTGTACGGACTTATTTTCATGTCGTATGCCTTGCATAACTTCCACTTTAAACAGCTTCTAACACTCAGAATAGTAAAGACATTTATTTTTCTATGTAGTTTTTAATACTTGAGAAATATTTATCAACAGAGGATACTTAGTGCCTTTTCATTGAAAACTAATTCAATGCTAATTCTGTAAAAAAGGTCATTTAACTACCCATCTAAGTTTAGATCATGATTTTGCACACTGACAGAATTAATATGTTTAGGCTTTCTAAAAAAAAAAACTTGGATGGGGTGGATTTTTGCTTTTAGTTCACCTGAGCTGAATTTCTGTTCTCCCTTGTCTGGCATCCGTCTTCTCAAGAAGTTGTTAATTTTGCAAACATTCCCAAATTGTGTGGATTCATTTTTTTTTTCCAAATATGGATCCTTGGTAAGAGAAGGCTAAAATTGGGATCAAATTTTACTTAATACATGGACATGTATACAGGAAAATAATTTTCTTCACCCTAACTGCAAGGCCATGTTGTAGGCCATAAGTCATATTAATATTGAAGCATCATCAGACTCCAGAGAGTTAATTATGGTGGGGCCATAATATGCCATGGGATCACAAATCTTCCTGGGAATATAAAAAATTTTCTAGGGAACAGCAGGGCTAAAGTTACTCAGATGAACATTGTGACCCATGGGCCTCTGTTTTTTATCTTTGGGGGAGGGGGGGGGTTCCATTGTGTCCATACTTGTATGCTTATTAATATTATTTATATACTTCATACAATGCATATTTCGGCAGGGTTATAAAATGTCATGCTCAAATTTTAGCAACATTTTTGACCCTTGCTTTCAATTCAGGTTGTACTAAACTTAAAATTATTACTGGGTATGAATCTAATGTCAAGGTCATATTTAATTTGTTATTCAAAATCTTGCTTTGTCATGAATGCAAAAACTTCTCATCTCCAGGTAAAAGATGTACCATATTTAGTCACATCCGTTATGGAAAGTCATGGTTTTACCTTTGATGGAAAAAAATAGCCTCAGTAACCTCTGAATATTATAGCAATTACATGTCATGTAAATGGAAACCAATGTTTGTTTTGTCCAGAAAATAGTTTATATTTAATATTCTGTTTTCATCATGTACAGCTTTTTATGGAGTTGAATCTTGCTTAAATGGCTCTCATATGACTCAGAATAAACAAATATGAAGCAAACTGCGTTGAAGATAAACTATTAATAGCATGTAGAAATGTTATAATTGTTAATAATGAATAATGATTTGAGAAATGTGAAAATCTCATATCTTGTGGGTATTTTTCTGTAGGATAAAAAAATTCATGTAATAGTTATTTAAGATTTATCAGAAAGTGTTTCTCATATTGTCACATTTCATTATACCTCATAACCTTTTTCATTGCTTTAAGAAACTTGTTTATTAACAAGTCTCAAGCATATGTGGGGCATAAGTCTAGCATTGTTAATTTGTTCTGTATTTGGCTGCATAAATTGCAGTCATTTTCTGTTCTCATTTGCATAGACTATTAAGTGAATACCCAGACAATGTTATTTAAATGATATTTTGGATGGAGATATATATATTTCTGCAGCTTTTCTGTTTAAAAAGTGGATTTATTTTTTTCTTTTTCTTGAACATGATGAAAAGTCATTCAAAAAATGAATCATTAAGTTCATGGATTCCTTTGTAGATTTGACCAAAATTTTGGCATATATATAATACGTAGGTATTCAAGTTAATTGTTCTTCTTTCCAATATTTTGAATATCTTGCATTTTAAACATGTGCCAAATTATTTCTTATAGACTAAAATAAATTTTATTTGATCTATGATTATGAAAGCAGATGTTTGAAATATTCATATTTGTACATTTTCTTGTTTTTACAAGGACTTCTCATGATTTTTAATGACCGTCAAATATACTGCCTTTTTTCCTTCATGTTATATATTGGTGGTTGAAATAAATATTCTTTCACTTATTTATTAATACTGCACCAATTTTAATGCAAACATATCTTCATCTATATATCTTGAGGATATTTCTGGTGGATGAATTATAAAAGAAAAAGATTATTACAGTCAAACCTCGTTATCTCGAACTTGAAGGGACCAAGAAAATACTTTGAGATAACCGAGTATTTGAGATATCCAGGGTAAAATACTTAAGGAATAAGTAGTTGGGACTTCAAAATGACTTCGACATATCCATGGAATTCAAGATATCATGTTCGAGATACCGAAGTTCAACTGTATTTTTAAGGTTATTGCTCTTTCAATGCATCAAAAGCCATGCAACACACCAGTTTATTTTTGTATAATCTCAATTTTTATACACAGTGTATTTGAAGTGCTATGGTTAATGTCAGATCAGCTTCATAAAACTTTGTAATTTTTTTTTATAACAAATAAAACTTTTCTATCTAGAGTACAAATTTTCATTTTCTAGTACAAATTTACATTTCCTTACAAGGGATGCTTAATGTTGGAAAAGCACCAGCTAACTTGTGTCAGGGGAGGCAAATGGCCAGAAAATAAAATGTACTTTAGAAGCACACCAGAATAACCTAGTTCTTTAACATTAAGGGATCATGGTGTTATAGATATATATTTATATATGTGTTAAAATTGACCATTTTGTTGTTCATTACAATCTTATTGGAAATAAATCAACAATAATTCAGGCATTGGAATGATCCATTCTTTTAGTCTACTGACAGAAAATACATATGGACATTTATTTGTTCTAAAAGTGAGTGATACTCCTAAACAGAATTGTAAATATATGTTATACACTATAACAATGATGCTTAAATTGTGAAAGCTGGTTCTATCTTTATACCCAGCACAAAAGATGCTAATGTCAGATAGAGGAAGTATTACAACCTCCACAAAATTATGGCCTCAAGAATTTGCAGTATGCTATTTTCTTGAAAGATTGCAGAGTTCTTTAAGCTATTTCAAGCATGCCATAGCTTTATTCGAGTTGCCTCACACTGGTTTTTGTCCCAGTAGAACAATTCAATTTAGATATAAAGTGCCTTGTAAATTGTAATGTGCTGTTTTTCACAATGGTCAATGAATCAATTATATCCATCATTGTCTCAAGCCACGGTCCGTAGTCCGCTCATAGGTCTCTCCTACAGAATGGTAGAGGATTGTACATTTTGGCCATGGTTTGTGACAATAACGGTGACATATGTTTTTGGCTACATTGATTCATCCAGAATGATGGCTTCAGGTTCCTGTTACATCCTGAGGAGGAATGTGTCTGTATTAGGTTGTTGTATTTTATTTACATAGTACTGAGGTTCTGAAACACCTCCATACATTTTTTGGAAACAGGGAGTGTGAAAAAAGCACTACTATATTTATACACTAGTAACAGCTGCTCTGTTTTTGTTGCATTCCATAGCTATATGTGTATGTATGGTATCATCTTCGCTATATAGCCAAGGGTTTCCGATCCGAAATCTACTCTACAACGTTGTAGAGTAGATTTCGGATCGGAAACCCTTGGCTAGCTAAGATGGTATGGTATTAAAAATATGTTTCCATAATCGAACAATTGAAAACACCAGTGTTTGTGTTCTAAAGTTAAAGAATGAAAGATAGACTGAAGTATAAATGAAATATATATATAAGAACTGCGAACGATAGTATTGTTCTCCCGCCTACCTCCAAGTCAATTTTCAAAACTTAACATGTTCGAATGATTTTTAATATTTATATTGATATTTATATGGATTTTCATAAAACATTACTTCTTTGGGAAAACAACGAGAGATAACTCTAAAATTTTGGCAAAACTCGTGTTTTTCACTATAGAAATCAACGGAAAATGGAAGATATTTTTAAAACATCTTTCTCCCCGTGAAACAAAAATTCCTTTTTACAGGTAATATGGACTGTCATTTCACAAGTTCATACCAAAGCTTTTTGTGTTTCACGGGGGGAACATATGTTTATATACAAAAAACGACAAAAATGCTTATTTTTTCATTAATTTCCAAGTGCTTTACAACTGAAACATTATATTTTATCAATATATATGCTTAATTTTATATGCATGAAACATAAGAAAAGATTTAAGAAACATTTATTCATATCCAAGACTATTTCAGAATATGGTGATGCTTTAGAACCCGATTTCAGTGGAAAATATCGTCTACCCCCCTTATTTCAAGAGCTGGAATTATGGATATTTTACTATTTAGCACTGGAATTAATATAATTAATCAATTACCATTGAACTGTTCTTTGTATTAAACAAAGATTATATGGCCAAATTGTCATCAATATTGTATTAAATGGTTGTAAAAATGTAGGCGGGAATCGGGAGTTACCGTGCGTAGTTCTTTATAAATGAATCTCAGTACAGAATGATATCATAAATATGCCAGACCAAGAATATTAAAGTGGTGTCCATTTTTACCCATCTAGTTCATTTAATTAAGAGTCTAATTTAATAAAATTATTGAAGTGAATATTGTGTTTATACATTATTTCTAGGGTGTTGGTGTACTGGATAGGGTGGAATTTAAATTACACAAGGACATTTACGTACTTGCCTTGTTTTTCTTGATAAGATATTTTTCTGTAAATCTTATACTGTAAACAGAGAAATTTTCGCCCACGTTTTATTTTTGCCCTTTTGTCCTACCCACAGAGGGGCAAATCAAAGAACACATTATAATTTCTTAAACAAAACTTTGACCTGGCAAATTTAAAACGGGGCAAAGTTGTGTGCAAGTGTGTAAGGATGAAAATAACACCGGGTGAAAATAACCCTGTTTACAGTAATACTCTGAAACATTGAACCCCTTCTCCATTTTGTGCCTTAAAATTAACATTGCAAAAATGATGCCTACATACCTAATTGATAATTTGCAGCCTGTTCTAACATGTTACAAAATTTTCAAAGCATTTGACCCCTTTGTGTTCCATCTCAAATTGGGGTGTAGGGCTTTCAACAGTCTAGCATCTATACCTTCACAGGATTTTTGCATAATAATTTCACCATTTGTAGTCTTGTTGTTTTAGAAGATTATATTTTTTCTTAACATGTACTGGTATATTTCTATGTAAAATTTGAAGACCATTTTGTTGACCCATCTTGACCCCAGAGGACTTGAATTCTTCATGATATAGAGCAGCTTTCATTTAAATTTTCCATATTTTTTGTCATTTCTGACTACATAGCTATGGGTTTTTAAATGACCACTCTTTAATAATTTCTTAAAGATACCCCCTTGGTATTGACATGACCCCCATTTGCAAAAACTTGAATCTTCATTTCCGAAGGATGCTTTGTTGCATGTTTGGTTCAAATAGGCTTAATATTTCTTGAGAAAGAAATTTTCAATGATTTAAAAAATTAATATACAAACCACAGAAAGATGGATAAAACACTGATCAAAAAAATTCATTTGATTCTATTGCTCAGATGAGCGAAAAGAACTCACCGGAAAAGTGTTAAATTTATCAAGCTACATGTACAAAACTCTGTTCATGGATTTTTAATTTTTATTAACAATTTAGCCACAGTTGTCATAAGTACAAAACATCTTTAAAATATTCTATAATTATCTGAACATACTGCATCTTTCTATTTTATCTATGGGAGAAAAAAAAAACTTGCACTCTGACAACAACAAAACTATACTTTTGTTTTTGAATTAATGATACAGATACATTTCAATTTATGTATAAATATATGATAACGCTCAATATACAGTTTCTCTGCCAGCAGCATAATATCTACATGTACCTTTCTATTTTTCACACACATCTTTTTTTTTTAGTAAAATACAACATACATTATCAGCTGCTTTGAATCATAATTCTGCGGAATGTCAAATGACTTGAATCATTATTTATCAATGAATATCCATTGCAAAATGTTTCTCAATGAAAATTGTGTACTGGCAAACCATTTGTTCATGATAACCTATTATACAAATTCATGTATAACCAAAATGTCTAAATACATACATGAAGTCAAACAAATAGACAGCAATTCCCACATGATAAGATTGTGCTCAGTGAAACCCTTCAATGTTAAGATGACATGTTAAACACACAGCTATGTCCTGTTTTGAGATTTTTCAATATTGAGACTTGCAAAGTCTGTGAAGAGAGAGTTAAGGTGATCAACCTCCTCTCGGGTCGACACGCCTTGTAACTGATGACATAGCTGGTCAATCTGCTCTGCTTCTTGGTGCAGTCCAGAAATGTTTAAATATGCTCTCATCATTTCTCCAATCTGGAAAACAATTACCACTGGTGAAAGACTATACAAATTATCAAGTCTTCTTTAAATGATTAAATAGCCTATTTATTATATGAGAGATATTAAAGTAAAACCATTGCATTTACTATTAATTATATAAAAATCTCCATCTCTTGTCAAGTGTAAGATACTGTAAACCAACTTTTATTTGCGTCGTCTTTTATTCATGATTCGTCAATTTGAAATCAGTCTGCGACGATTAATTTTCGCGACTGAGGAAACATTCTTTACAAATGCAAAGCAAAATAAATGGTTCACAGCGATTAATATTCACGAGTTGACGTAGGTCGCGAAACTCGAGGATATTTCTCGCATGCGAATAAAAGTTGGTTTACAGTACCAAGAAAAATTAAAAATCCTGAAAATTGCCAAAAAATTTTCAACTTTATCACTTCTGGCACTTAACTTTCACTGCACTTAGTATAAAACATTTTTTTTTCATTGCCTGCATATGCATCTAGACTTCAGAAATGAATGTTACTTGAATAATGTAAACAAATGGTAAGATGATGACTATATCATCAAATATAAACTGTACCTCTAGAGTTTCATCCTTAACCCTCTGTGAGGAATACTCTCTTTCTTCACTAAGGAATCGGAGGCGTGATTTTGCCACACTTAATGGAGTTCTGCCATGTCTATCCACAGACTTCAGATTTGTTCCTGTAAACAAAATGATTAAACATGCTTATTTGTCTACATAATCATTATGGATGCATGCAAGCCCTCATTGGCCAATCACTACATATATATCCCTTTCAATATCTTTGAACATAGAAAAGAGTATCTTTGAAAAATATTGAAAATGTTCACGTTTTTCTGGGACAAGCCTCATATATAAAGCCCTGATTGAGGTCACATAACCATCAACAATTACCTGCTTTCAGCAAAAGAGTAACCACAGGGACTTGACCCGTGCAGGCAGCTGAAAATACCAGAAAAATCTTGTATATGTATGTATGTATGTATATTCTGACATTTTAGGAAAAGACAAAGACATGTACTGCAATCTGTGTTATGTCTCAGAATCCAGATACTAGTAGAAATTCAACTGGATGGAATTCAACCACATCCTGCTCATCTTCTAAGACATTATTATTTTTGATTGTCATCAGAAGCATTCAATTTTTTGTGAAACCATTGCATTTACTTTTACAAAAAATATTATGCAGTAGTATTTCTTTCTTTTCTTTTTTGTAATTTAATTATATTAAATCTCTTACCTAGGTGTAGAGGTGTATTCCCAAGAATGTCTTTCTGATTTGGATCTGCACCCTTGTCCAGCAAGGCTTTTACTGAACAAATTGTCACCATGTTATTAATAAACAAATATCACATATATGTATTCATAAATATACACATGGACACTGGCTACATATAAAAGCAAAGACACATTTTCTGTGGTTATATCTAAAGATTACACAATTGTTATCAAGTAAAATGAACTTTTTTCTCTTTGTGGTGATCAATTTAAGTTTTAATTCAGGACAGCAACATAAAGAATGGCAACTCTACATTCCAGCTTAATAAAACAAGTTTGAATTTTTTGTGAGTTAAGTTCCTGTTCCATTACAGACTTCCAGTTTGACTTACCAACTTTTTCATATCCCTGAGATGAGGCAAAATGGAGAGGAGTTCTTTGTTTATTGTCTGCACAACACGGATCTACTCCATCATCCAGTAATTCAACCACTGGGAGAAAAAAAGGTCTTTGATTGTAAAATAAAATTTCAGTGTATATTTATTGGAATAATAATTGGGAATGCTACAATATTACCTGCATTAAGGTCATTCTGATTAGCAGCATTCTGTAGCCTTCTTTCATCTAAACAGGACAAACATGAATGAAAGAAAAAGTGAGCAAGCTCACATACCCCACGCTTCCCCAAAACTCGACAATGCAACACGTAATGAATGGCACAGTGCATTTTAAATACACAGTATAATTCAAAAAAGGGGCATTACTTGCAAAAAATCATCACATCAAAACTTCTTGCATATAAGGACATTCAAATCTTTGTATGTTACAAATTTAACTGGGCTGAAGTTTCTAGATAAATAATGGAATCAAAATTTCTTGGTAATATACAAATCTATACATTATTCTGAAATACCTACAAAGTTTCAGGAAATTCAGTGCCGGAATTATGCTGACAAACTGTTATTTAAATTCCTCAGTGATTTCGATTTGTTAATGAGTGTAAGTCCATGTCCAACACATGACAGTTTACACATTTAAATAATTGATGGAAACAAAATTATGATGTAGTCATATGAATCTGTTTATATACTGTACTTATGAAATTATTTAAGGCAAAGCACACCAATTTGAAGGGGGGGGGGGGGGGGGGGGGGGGAGAGAACTATCGAAGATGGTGTGTGTGTGAGTGTGTGTTTGTGTTAAACCATTAATATTTTGATCTCAAAATCAATAGGGGTCTTTTAAGGTCATAAAATATTTCACATAGAATTTCATTATAAAAAGCTGATTCCAGTGGAGTTTCTTATTACCTAGCTGGAAAGTTTCTTCAATAAAAGGCAAAACTCTTAAGGCAAAAATAATGGAATCGGAATTTCCTGGTAATATGCACATCTACACACTGTGTACTAAATATCTGCAAAGTTTGTCCAAATTCTGTGCAGCGGTTTAAGAGGAGTTGTGCTGACAAACTGTTCATCTCTATATTCAAGATATGGCCAAAAACCTAAGTTGAAAAGTGCCGAAATTCCCAGAAAAAATAATGGAATCAGAATTTCCTGGTAATATGCACATCTACACACTGTGTACTAAATATCTGCAGAGATTGACCAAATTCTGTGCAGCGGTTTAAGAGGAGTTGTGCTGACAAACTGTTCATCTTTATATTGAAGATATGGCCAAAAATCTAAGTGGAAAAGTGCCGAAATTCAAAGAAAATATAAAGGAATCGGAATTTCCTGGTAATATGCACATCTATACATTGTGTGCTAAATATCTGCAAAGTTTGACCAAATTCTATGCAGCGGTTTAATAGGAGTTGTGCTGACAAACTGTTCATCTCTATATTCAAGATATGGCCAAAAACCTAAGTTGAAAAGTGCCGAAATTCCCAGAAAAATACGGAATCGGAATTTCCTGGTAATATGCACATCTACACACTGTGTACTAAATATCTGCAAAGTTTGACCAAATTCTGTGCAGCGGTTTAAGAGGAGTTGCGCTGACAAACTGTTCATCTCTATATTCAAGATATGGCCAAAAATCTAAGTTGAAAAGTGCTGAAATTCCCAGAAAAATAATGGAATCGGAATTTCCTGGTAATATGCACATCTACACATTGTGTCCTAAATATCTGCAAAGTTTGACCAAATTCTGTGCATTGGTTTATGAGGAGTTGCGCTGACAAACTGTTCATCTCCATATTCAAGATATGGCCAAAAATCTAAGTTGAAAAGTGCCGAAATTCCGAGAAAAAATAAAGGAATCGGAATTTCCTGGTAATATGCACATCTACACATTGTGTCCTAAATATCTGCAAAGTTTGACGAAATTCTGTGCAGCGGTTTATGAGGAGTTGCGCTGACAAAAAAACAGGACTGACGGACTGACTGACTGACTGACTGACACACTGACTGACTGACTGACGGACGGGTCAAAAACATTATACCTCACGCAACTTGTTGCATGGGGTATAATTAAGTAAACAGTGTACCATCAGATTTTCCTGAGATTTTTTTTTTTTGTAAGCATATTGTTTTCTCATAAACCATTATAATTTTAATTGAAAAATGTATATACTTTCCTCAATTTTTTTTCATTTTGAGATCTGAAATTATTTCCTATACCTGCAATATAGTTTCCAACAGTGCTGCTACATTTGAATTTTTTCTGTCTCTGCTGCCTGTGTGTTACACTGACTTTTACCTTCCCTGGTGTGTCTGTCTGTCTGTAGGTGGGCTTGTAAGTCGATGAGAAAGGGACAAGACACAAAAAGTCAAGACCAGACCCTGCTTGTGGTGACCAGGCAGTGAAATCTACATGGGGAAAATTGCTGGTACTTCCTGTATCCCCTGATATCTATCGTAAAAGGGGGGAAAATGTTGTTTTTCTTTTAATATAAAATATTAATCATAGATACCTCAGTCATTCTACAAAAATGTAACCAAATAACAATGTCACTTACAAATTTACCCTTGTAACATTGTACATGTATTTATAATTTAAAATTTCTAACTATATTTATAATTTAAAATATCTAACTATAGCATGTTGCAGAATAAAAATCAACTTCTTTAACATTTTTGTTTTACATTGCATACAAACCTTGCAGGTCTGACAACGAACTGAAACTTACCTGAAAGTGACCATGAAACCTAGTATGATTGATTCTATAGTTTCGAGTCGGATAATTAAGACCAAAACATTTTCAACATTACAAAATAAATTAGACAAAAGTATTTATCTCTCTTAAAAATTTAACTATAATAACGGTAATCCAGGAATGTTTTTGCATTTGAGATATGAAAAGTTTTATTATTTTGGGATCGAAATACTTAAATTCTTTTTTTTTTAACATCTTAAAACAAACTTAATTATATCTATTCAGAGAATTTCAACTTTTTTTTACTGAAAATTAAATTCCCTAATGATTAACTTCCATAACTTTATCCACCCAAAATTTTAACCCCACACCAAATTTAAATGTTCCAGACTCTAAAAATCATGTTTTACCATTCTATACACAACATCAGAAGAACAAAAAGTAGGTCAAATTCAGTTTAATTTCTGTTTAATCATAACATTGCCTTATAACCACTGGTATATTGAAATTTTTGTAAAAAGTTAAGGATATAAGATTTGTGGATAATTCTTTTTAAGTACACATTATATGTCTTAAAGAGAATTATGTTGTTCAGTTGGATATTTGAAGCAATTATAATTTTTTTTCCCATGTTTTGTACCCTGAATCAGTCCTTTCATCATAGAAGGACTGATCTATGGACACACAGATGGAAATAATGGGCCAAACTGTTAATAGATTATACTTCCAGTAGACATGGTAGATGAAACATTATTTAGTATCCAAAGAATATTAATCAAAATGGTTTTTATGCTGATGTGCAAGCTGCTTCTATTTGACAAGAATAAAATTGAGGAGGAAAGTTCATACATTTTAATTGGTACGGCAAATTTTCATGAAATGCTAATAATAATTCGTAGCAATACAAATTCAAACAGGGGCATCTTGTTATTTATTATAGTGAGCGCAGCGAGCGGCGCAAAGCGCTGCTTGTCACTGCGAGCTCTTAAAGCAACGCCTGGGCGAAGAGAAAATTCGGACTTTACACATTGATCCAAATGAATTTTTTTCCACAGTTACCTGTGGTCCCAAAATGCTTAGCGAATTACATCTCGCCGCAAACTACGTTCTCGCGGTAGCAACAAAAACTCGACAAAAAATAAAATCACCTTGATATAATGGATATAAAGCAGATAAATAGTAGATCAAATGTTCTTGATTAAAATTAGCACTGTTCAGACTTCGTTTTGGTAATGCAACATACATACAACGTCATATGATGTCAGAGTCTAGACGTAGCAAATGTCACGTGCTGTTTGACTAGCCCGATCTAAATTAAAACTGAAAGGTATCTGCGCTCGCCCTAACAGTTGCACCGTTAACATATTATGTGTAAGAGAGAACAGACAGAAGAAAATGCCCCTGTAGGTATACATCCAAATTTTCATGTGACTATACTGTATTTAATATGCATACTAATATTTCTACTCACATTTGAAAAAAAAAATATTTAATAAAAAAACAACATAAAACCAATGTATATTTTGTTTCAATTTTATACCCTACATACGGGGCTCGTCACGATATTAATCTTTTTACCCTACACCGGGGTGGTCAAAGAGGAAGAATACGAATCGATCGTGACAAACCACTGTACCCTATATGGCCCTACATTGGCTACAACTTTGTTTACCTAAATGGCCCTGTTCGTTAAAATATCGATATAATGGAACCAAAGTAGATTTTGAAAAAATAAAATGATGAAGGCTGGAAGAGATGTTTGTTTACCCCTGTATTGCAAACATATTATATACACAAGAACAGAAAGCAAATACTTTGCATACTTCAGAATTATCATCGCTGTCATCACTCATCGCTTGTTTCTGTTTTGAAAGTAATCAATCATTTTTAGCATCTCGAGCCCGATCCGATTAGCATTATTTTGAAGTTTATTATCGGCCGATCTATTTGTGGTTGTGTTAAAAAGTGCAAATGGGGAAATGAGACGTCATTTCTTTCAACACTTCGGTAAAATAATTCGTTAATGATAACGTGCATAAGAATTATGATTTACGATTATGAGTTACATTTTAATAAACTTAAAATAAGTCTTAATTTGTTATTATTACGTTTCAATTTAATTTTCACAGCTGATCAGATGATTATAATTAGATTTATGTTTATATAAAAAGCTCCCCATCATGGGAGTGAGTAAGATATGAAAACAAATCATTATGATTTTTCGGATAAAAAAAATGAATTAAAAAATTGAAGTATGTAAAACAAGAGGCCCATGGGCCACAACGCTCGCCTGAGTAACTTTGGCTCTGTTGTACTTCACCAGATCCCCCCTTGTAACACATATTATGACCCCATCCTATCCAAGGGGCCATGATTTGAACAATTTAGAATCTACACTACCCCTGGATGCTTCCATGTAAGTTTCAGCTTTTCTGGCCCAGTGGTTCTTGAGAAGATTTTTAAAGTCGTATATGGCATATTTTTTATAGGTTCAGACAACTAAAATTATCAAGATCTTTCTATTTGTTTTATTACTTTATATAAAGGACTTTACTGTAAACTTCACAATCACGTTTCAAAGGTATTAGAAATTTAAAACAATAACCGATTTATTTAACGACTATGCATTTAAATAATACAAACAGTTTAAAGTCAATTTAACTATGGAAACATGAAGTTATTCAAGTTCAAAATCGATGAAAATTTTAATTTGAACGTAAATAACATATATCATGTTTATCTACACTCAATCTCGTATTTTTATTTTTTAGGTTGTAGGGGTGGGGTGGTGTTGTAGCACTTACCAAGGACAGATAATTTACTTTCCTGCCAGTCGAAGACAGATTTATTATTTTCAACATTTTCAAGAACATACTATTGATTTCCAAAATCTGCTAGCTCCCCCCTCACGTTTCGGTTAAAAAAAATACCCTGGCTTTCCAAGACAGTTTTCATTATAATAAATACTTGTATCACTCTGACTGAGACACTGTGATTCTTTTTACATTCAATTCAATATAATTTTGATATCTCAAGCTTCTCTTTCATCCCCATTTTGAAACTCCTTGGGGCTTAGGCTTCAATGTCATGAATGTGTACAGAGCTGATTTCCTGTACCATGTGGTCTTGTACATTTCACATATCAAAATTACTCTTTTGCATGAATATATGAATGAAACACTAGATCACAAAAACAAGTCTGACAAATGATTAACATTTATTTCCATGCTATCAAATCATTATGGTATATGATGACAATAAACAGTATGGCTATAATACACCATTTAATATAATCAAAACAGTACTTATGTTAATACTGTAAAAATAAATTTGAGACATATATTTCAGCTTCCAATGCTGTGAATCAAACCTTAAAACTCATAACACAACCACTCATATACGACACTTTAATTCTCTAGTCCAGACCACAGTCCTCTTGTAACTAAAGGTCCAGTTTGCGATCCAGGTACTGATGAATTATCATTAACATTTTGGCACTTAATTGCAGTTTTTATATCCATAAATGCTATGTTGCAAGCCAAAAACAAGAGGTCCAGGGGCCATATTGCTCACCTGAGCACTCTAGTTAGGAAAAAGCAGAAATCAGGTCAGTCTTGAAAAGTTAAATATAAAACTGGTTTGGGGGGGGGGGGGGGTTCAATTTGAACTAACTTGAATCTAAACTTCATAGGGATGCCTTTGAATTAATATGACAAATAATGGCTTTGCTGTTCTTAAGAAGAAAATTTTGAACGATATATCCTTTGTATTCCTTTGTATAACTATGATCCCCTGTTATGGCCCCTCTATTCTCCTGGGGGTCATGATTTGTATAAATTTGAATCTACATTACCTGATGATGCTTCCATTTAAATATGATTAATCATGGCTTTGCTGTTCTTGAGAAGATTTTTAAAGACTTTTCCTATGTATTCCTATGTAAAACTTTGATCGCCCATTGTGGCCCCACCCTACCCACGGGGGTCATGATATGAGCAAACTTGAATATACACTACCTGAGGGTGCTTCCATATAAATATGAACGAATCATGGCTTTGCTGTTCTTAAGAAGAAGATTGTCAAAGATTTTTACCATGTATTCCTATATAAACTTTGATCGCCCATTGTGGCCCCACCCTATCCCCGGGTGTCATGATTTGAACAAACTTGAATCTACACTACCTGAGGATGCTTCCATATAAGTTTCATATTTTCAAGCACAGTGGTTCCTGAGAAGTAGATTTTTAAATGATGCCATTACTTTTTCATGAATTCATAATTATCTCCCCTTGGAAGAAGGCATAGCCCTTCATTTGAAGAAACTTGAATCCCCTTTACCCAAGAATACTTTGTGGCAAGTTTGGTTGAAATTGCCCCAGTGGTTCTTGAGAAGAAGATGAAAATGTGAAAAGTTTATGACAATAACGACAACGACAGACAACAGAAAATTTCGATCAGAAAAGCTCACTTGAGCCTTCGGCTTAGGTGAGCTAAAAAGTGAAATACTTTATCTGTAAAAAGTAAGTAAAAATGGAGGGAAAAAAATTACCACGATTGACAGGAAAATTTTTTGAAAAAAATAAAACATGATACACTAAAAGGTCAAACTGTTAATTTTTACTAAACAATTCATCACAAACTTCACATTTTAAAAACATTAAATACACACACACTGCAGCTATCACTATAAAACATTTCACCAATCATGCTCCATTGTCTAAGATATGAAGCTGATATTGTTATTTTTCTGTAAGTTTTTAACATTAAATGGGATGACTTTGAGCTACATATTACATAAATTACAAAAATCTAACTAGGAAATGATTCTTGAACCCACATTAAAATACTTGAAACAAGTTAAAAAAATTACTTTTAGCATAAATCTCACATAAATTCTGCATGTCCTGGTAAAATTTCATCATATAAACAAATAATGATAATTCATGAACTATAAATTTTTGTTGATTTTTATTAATAAAATAAGGTTTGCAAAGGATTATACATGGCCGTAGGAACCGGGGGGGCCGTGCCCCCCCAATAATTTTGCCGATATATAGAATACTATAGAAAACATAACTACATGTACTATAAGCTTGTGCCCCCTCAATAATAACATCTGATGACTTTTTTTTTTTTTGCTTGTCAAGGAATTTTGGTACTTGATAGTGCCCCCTCAACTGAAATGTATGGTGTTGTGCCCCCTCAAAGTGAAATTGCTTCCTACGGGCCTGTTATATATTAAAAATTAAAAGTTCAGAAATACTTTTGACCCTTGAATGTAGATTGACAATATTTATAAAGAAGTATGGTACACATGTAAAAGGAAACAACAACAACCATATCCAACTATATATATCCAAAAATAAGTCATTAAATGAACATGCCTCTATCCATTACACAGTAATGTATCACAGAGTTATATTTTTTAATATTCAGTTTTCTGGCTATATTGCAGACTAGATTAAAGTTGATTTTTATTATCACAGAGTTATATTTTTTAATATTCAGTTTTCTGGCTATATTGCAAACTAGATTAAAATTGATTTTTATCATGATTATTCCTGAGACATAGCAAGTTAATAGTTCTTGCAAAATCACCTGACTGTGTAAATGATTTGAATACTGATTAGGAGAAGTCTGTGTAGAACATTGGAGAATTTACTGATGGCTTTGTGGACTGATCAAGATAACTCTTGTAGAACATAGGAGAATTTACTGATGGCTTTGTGGACGTCCTGTGGGGAAATATCACAGTGGAGGACAAACCTCAGTAGTGTGTCCGAGTAGGGAACCATCTTCACAATGATTCCCTCCCCTAGCTCTCTCCTCTCTTCATCTGTCACCTGTAAAATGAAAAATTTCTATTTCTATTTGATAAAGGATCAGTCAAGATGGAAGTACAGGACACAGAATTCTGGAATTTGTAAAAGTATAATTACTGGTAGTTAAGTATAAATTTAGAGATGCACAACATACAACATATTGAAACATTAACTGTTTATACCTCTTCTGCTTAATAAATCAACATTTCTGAATACATAATTACACTACTACATGTACTCATGAACTTCTTATCTAAAATAAAAAAGAATAGAAAGCCTGTATACTTCTCAAGGCATGGATCCAGAGTTTTCAAAGAATTCTTATCCCTTTTCTTACAGTAACTGTCTTTTTAAAATACAGTCAAACCTCGTTATCTCGAACTCGATTGGACTAAGAAAAATGAAAAACTTTGAGATATTTGAAGGTTCGAGATATCGAGGGTAAAATTCTTAAGAAATACGTGGTTAGGACTTCCCAATCACTTCGATATATCCATGGTATTTGGGATATCCGTGTTCGGGATACCGAAGTTCAACTGTATTATACAAATGTTTCTATAAGAATATTTTTGTTATCAAGATATAATCCAATTCCTACAGTTCACCTGAAGGAGCCTGTTATACAGCTGTGTAGCGGTGAGACCAGGTTTTGTCACTGTTAGGAATACTATGTTGGTTTCCACAGTTTCTTGGTTTACATGAACAACTGTCTGTGGTGCTGACATGATGGCTGTAAAAACAATTCAAAAGAATTATTGATGGACACAGACATGAAACACATAGAAACAGCTTCTTCTTTTTTTTTTCTTTTTTTAAATACTGAGTTTTCTTACAACCAAAACATGTTATACTTAGAAGACACCTTTCTTAAAAGGCTTTAAATTCAAGGTATGTTTACCATGTTTAAAGTCTTTCAACTTGTGTACCATAATCATATCTAAATTAAATGCACACCTTTTGTAATTTTTTGAGTCTTGACGTGATCTTCTGAGAGTTTTGGGAGGACATGGTCCAGTGAGTACATGGCAGCTGCTGCCAGTACCCCTGCCTGACGCATACCCCCTCCCAGGGCCTTTCTTCTCCTCTTTGCCCTACAATTCAAATATAACCCTAATTCAACGTTTATAAAGTAAATTCGTGGACTTAAAATAATCTGATGCCACAAAGGTCTTTAAAAATTCTACATTAATTGTTCTCGTGAATAGAGACTTACATCCTGATAAAATCACTTGTTCCAGCTATAACTGACCCTACTGGACAACCAAGTCCCTATGAGGAAAAAAAGTCAAAACCAAAAATAAATCTTCTGAGTAACTGAAACCCTGAACAGATCCCGAAAATTAAGTAAAAATATTCTTGGAATATGTTTTTTGATTGCAAGATCATTATGGCATTTCCATCATCACTTGTTTTAATTCACTAAACTGTATTTCAAACCAGCTAGAGATGCATGTGCACGTACATTATTAGTTATGTAGACAATTGGAGGGGTAATATGGAAATATATGGGGTCCTTGAAAAATGCATATTGGACGATGCGTAAGCAAAGCCCATTATGCATTTTTTCAAGGACCCCATATCTTTCCATATAAACCCTCTAAGTGTCCACATAACAAATTTATCCTGTTGAAGATTTCTTAATAAAATTCATTTTCTCTGAGTTAAGCTTAAAGTTCCGTAACAACTGCTTACATTGTGAAGTTGTTTAATGCTTATGTGACGTCAGTTATTAATAGGTCCTTGCGTGTTCAAATGAAAGCAATATTGAATATGATCTGGACAGTATGGCACATGGAGGGGGTATATTGAATTGATACGTGGTTAGTAGGTCATGTGAAGGGGGAATATTAACAATATTATAATGTTAGTAATCAGCATAATATGGTTTTATACAGTATTTCTCTCAATCAATGAAATGTCAAGATTTTTATCAGAGGCAGGATAAATACCAATATACAGTAAAATTACAAGAAATAGCATTTACATCTCTTCATTGATTAAATAATCTTTAGTGTATAAAACTGACCTTGGAGAAGCACATATTGACAGAATCTACATATCTTGTGATCTCAGCTGGCTGTACACCCAGCGCAGTGGCAGCATGCATTAACCTAGCTCCATCAAGGTGGACCTTCATTTCATATTCCTGAGCTAATTCATACACCTAACAAACAACGGAAACTTAAATTGCTTTATAAAGTTCCACTTTTAAATGGTTACAGCATCAACAAAAAATGTGGTTATAAGGGGTCTAGATATACATGTACTACTACTTTAATATTACTTGTAAACCTTCTGTACATCACAAAGCATTTTTTTTTAAATTAACTTAATGGTTTTGAGACATTTAAGACACACCTTTTTCATGTAAGACAGTGGTATAACTTTTCCGCCACAGTAATTATGTGTGTTTTCTACACAGATCAGTCTAGTGTAGGGGAAGTGAGGATCATCACTAATTCTAATTCTCTCCCTGATCTTGTCCAGTTCCATCGTCCCATCCTCCTTATTCTCTACTACAGAGGTCAGCAAACCTCCAAACTAGTAACAAGATGATGGATAGATATAAAATACATGGTTACTGTCTTTAACCCTCTGGCTGCGACGTCTGTGTACAGAAAATATAACGTCACTGCGAGATTAAAAGGACGTCACAATTTGTTTTACATTATTTTGCGGGATTTTTAAAAATATTTCGGAATTACGCCAAGTGCGCGTCTAGAACACTATAGGAATGAGTACAAGGAAATTTATTCATTTGTTTTATCAATAAAACTATTAAGAAGTTCTTTATTTATACATTTTGACTTAATTTCATATTTTTTACTCAATTTAATCATATTATGATTCTTTTTCTTTTTATATTTCCAATAAAATAAAACCGATAAGCGGTTATGAAGAAAGAATTTATCAAATCGGAAACAAATACATCTCAACTTTAAAATCCTAATCAGTATGGGCAATTTGTTAACTCATGATCAAGTACTCGTAAAATAACAAATATCGTATATAGATCAATAAGAGCATTTTATATATTTTATTTTCATCTGCATTCAATTTCTCACGGTGAGGTGCCTTCTAAAAAATAAATTACAAAAAATCCAACTTTGCAAGAAGTGTGCCACATTTTAATTTTGATTATGCTTTCCGCACAGATTTTTCTTTTTCGTCAAGAATTAAATTAAAACCAAGATAAATTTATCCAAAAATATTTTTCTAAGAAAAATTTCATAATAAAACAACTTTGACCCATAAATTCGACTTAAAATTTATTGAAATTAATTCTACAGAGGTTGTGTAAATATTTCATTTAGGCATTAATGTTGACTTTCAATGATTCATTATAGGATATCCGATTACATAAATTCATCCAAGAATCAGGAAAAGATCTACCATCAAGTTGCTTAGTTTCACGCTTTTCTATTAATTTGACAAAAGGGCCGATATTTACTTAAAAAAAAAAAAAAAACCTTCCGGTCTGATGTTTAAATTTGCGGAAGTAAAAATTTATCGGGCTCATTTTTGTGCGCAGCCCCATGATTTGCCGGTAAATTAAATATTATGCATAGACATTGGATATATACATGTACATGTAACACACGTACGTTTTTGAAACAAAAATAATTCTGGTCATAAGAAAACTTATAAATTACAATCTTATAGCTGAAAAATATATAGACCACTTAAAAAGAAAGATGATAAATTGTAGTTTGAAAAAAGTCACAGGTACATGTTATTTTAATTGATCAACATTAATTTTGTAATTCGATATTTTTACATGAGATCTATGTTAAATTCATATAGAAATATGTTTTTAGTTTACCGGAAGCAAAATTTGATGAGTCAAAATTTGATATACACGAAATTCTCAGAGAAAAGTAAATGCAGATTTTCGTCCATATCATGTTGAATTTGATATCGGGGTTTTTCTAACAATTCTAATGATCGATTTCTCGGACATGTCGACACCACTTATCTTCTTGTACAAAAGAATGACCTCGGGGACATCAATTTCTACAATCTACACTTTTGTATTTTGTGTAAAAATCATGCTGTACGTTTAACACACACACACACACACACACACGAACAATGTTTTATTTTATTAGAGAAATTGTCAGGACAATGGGAATTCAAAACTTGATTTTATGTCAGAAACCAATCCAGTCATGGTCTATTAGAATGTTGGTTTAATTTTACGTTCCGTTTCCATATAAACATTTACAAAGAGATCTACAAATGTATATGTAATTTTCGCCATAATATTTATATGGAATATTTTAAAAACTAAAGCAAGCAGCTATTCGTAGTGACTTTTAAAGGAAGAAATCAGTTGACAAGGACATTTTTATTTATTCATTTATTTTATTTTAACGTAAATTCCTGGCCCGTAGTAAGCGCCCCCTCCCTCCTTTTTCTGAGTACAACATTACCCTAAAAAACGTGCACTATTTATATAATAGTAGTTTTTACTTTAGATGCCTCTCTCTCTATCTCCCCCCCCCCCCCCCCCCCACACACACGTTTTGTTGTTGTTAGGTCGAGCACTGGCAAATTCCAGAATAGTACAGTTATTTGGGTTTGTTTTTGTTTTGTTTTGTTTTTTGTTTTTTTTTTTTGCTTGTCAGATTTTTTGGGATGGGAACACCCCTACCCCCCCATATTTTTAAATCATTGCTATGGGCCTGAAGTCACTTTATTGTTTTAAACAAGGGGTCTGATGAATATTAGTTTTAACCGTATTTCATTTGAGAAGTTTAAGCATAGAGAACAAATTTTGATACAACATGGAGATTATATCACAAAAAGACCCAGAAGACCGTGTGTGTTTGTTAACACTGTGTTTGATTCTTGTATACTATCGGTAAAGCTAAAACTGGAGAATGTTGAAATGAAAAACGCTGATATTCAGAACACGGGGACACGGGGGGGGGGGGGGGGGGGGGGGGGGGGTATAAGCAACATCTACATCCGATTGAACGCAATCCAACCCTCCTCGTTTTACATAACGGCTGATTGCTTGTGCAGTGTATTATATTTTGAACTATGTGCAAATACCTGTGGTATATCATTGGGGTCATTCACTCTATACTGACAGGAGAACAAGGATATTACAAAATTTATTTATTTCACATACTTGTCATGTCTTTATTAATTTATTTATTTTTAAAATGAAACATTTGACTATACATTGGGCTAAAAAATAAACTTTTATAATAGTGTTTTGGAGTGAAAATGAATTAATTAGATTTTGAAAGCATAGACATCAAAGTTATCTAAAAAATTTTGAGGTTAATATGTTAATAATTTGCCACTCCAATTACGTTTTTGAACAATTCTGCATTTGAATTGTATAAACAGAGAATCAAACAGTCGTGTTGTATCCTTTTTTAGATTCTGCTGAAAAAAGCACATGCACTGCGATGTCAACTGCAACCTTTTAAATGAGAAAACCATGCAAAACAGTCCACAAGCAGGGGTTTACGTATAGATATAAATTTTTGTGTGCAATATAGTATTGATATACCATTCGAATTTGCCACATACATTTTTGTAATGGTTGCCTTAGTTAGGAGTTAGAGGAAACGGTAGACAAATATTCCAAGTACATGAGATTTGTCTAATACAGTGTATATTCAACGTGCCATACAGTGTGAAATTGAAATTCTTTTTTAAAGCAAATATACAACCGAGTAAAAATGTTCAAAGTTAATAATTTTCATCAATGCAACGCTAAGTTGAATCTCTGAAATGTCAGCAATTTTAACAGAAACATACTCGATATACATGCATATCATAATAGCTCGACGAACTGGAAATGTACTAATAGTACTTATTTATAAGGTCCAGTACTGGACTTGTGCGTTAGGTCATATCCAGAGGTCCCGCACGGGATATATGTTGCATTATCACTGCAATGGAGAAACATAGAGATAATTTACTTGAACAGGGCCTTAGCTCATGTTGCGAATGTAGAACATGGTCAGCATAGTGATTTGTTTTCTTTTCCAAGAAAATGTATAAAACTTCTAAATTGACCAGGTACAGATAATTTCTAAATTATCTATTAGGGCGAGAAATTTAAATATTCATCAGGGGGACTTCGACGTAAAATGGGTTAACAGAGCCCATGTGTCAGGAAAATCGTTTCGTCGCATGCGAATAAGCAAAATCATTCACACATCGTAGCTACTCCTAGATCTGTCCATATTCTCTCTGATGACAGAGGAACCTCTTCATTGTCGAACTCTGATTCAATGATCAAATATAGGATCATTTTCGAAGAAGATTAATTTTCCATGTCGGAAAAATTTCACTGTATGTGTTAATGAAAACATTACGTGATTTTGGGAAAATACTATAATTATAAAGCGAATTTCTACCTGAATTTTAGGGGGGGGGGGGGGGTTCATTTGCTCTGATTTGGAAATGTTAAGAAAAAATTAACTATTTTCAAATTTTTTTTCAAAATTTCAAAAATTTTAGTTTTAAAATTTGATCATTTTCTATATCTTCATATGGAGCTCTTCTTCTAAAGGAGATCAATATAGTCTAAAAATGGCCACAACCCCCCAGCCTCTTTAAGTCTTACAGGTATATGTTAAATTGAAATGCACATGTGAGAAAAAATTTCATTTGCGCATTTTAGATTTAATCACATGCATGAACAAATACATGAATAATTATACAATACATTTGTAGCGTTTAATTTGTTTTAAAAGGCAGGAGCTTTAAAATTCTTAAGTCTTTTAATTCAACAAAAAAAAAAATGCAATCAAAAAATAGTTTTAATATTATATATTTCAATAAAGTTCGAGGGAAATGACACCTCAAAATTTATGACGTCGTCAGGGACATATATGTCCCTGCCGCAGCGAGCGGTAAAAGGACATATATGTCCTTCCCGCAGCCAGAGGGTTAAATATAAGCGATATTGGGCGAGGGTAAGAAAACGTGATAGAGGGCGAGGCTTGCCGAGCCTTCTATCACGTTTCGACCCGAGCCCAAATATCGCTTATATTTCAAGACAGCCTCCATGTATTTTGTTTATCCTGCAACACATTTTTACATGACCTCCAAAACGAGCTGTTTTCAACCGATTTAGGTACATCTCTGCAGTTGAAACTAAGACGCCATGGCGTAAACATTGCAATATTCATGACGTCACAATGCTTTTAGAACATTGGAATACGTGCACGAGGCTTTATTAGGGCATTGACCGAATAAAGCTTTGGTTTATTAGGTCAATACAAGGGGTAGTTGCAGGATAAAGTCTATGTAATATATAGAGTACCTTTTAATGAGTGTATCTTCAGATATCAGACGAGGGGGCTTGTCCCCCGAGTCTGATATCTGAAGATGCACGAGTTAAAAGGTACTCTATATGTTTTGTATCATTGTTCTCAGGTATTGAGCTACCCGTGATCTATCAAATTCACGTTAATAGCACTTAATTCAACTACATATTCTCATGCACTGAATTAGCAATGATCTATCAAAATTTCATCATAGGCCTACCATTTTTTATAACCAATGAAAAAAGAGCACGTGATTCGAAAAGTATAGCGCACTGTATTTCTTGAACTTTCTACCTCGTCCATTCATATTCTGAACGCCTTGGATGACGGTTGTGATTTTATGCTTTTGCAATTCTTAAAGACACGGAAACCGAAATTATGAAGGAAAATTCCTTAGATCAGTTAAGAAACCAGATGCAGGTTGAAGATTCTTTGGGAAGTGTGACGTTTGATCTACCAGAACTAAAAATTGAACCTATTATGGAGTTCGATATAGGAGATATTTTAGATATGATGGAGACTGAGTTGAGTGCGTTAATTTCACCAGTCCTGAGGTCGACACGAAGACGAAAAATGAAAGGTTTGTACAAGTGTCCAATTATGAAATTCAGCGTTTGATAGACTCTCAAAAAATATCCTCGTAACGTTCAAACTAAGGAGTAGCGTGCGGCACGGGAAAATGTCCACTTTTGACCGAGATGAACAGCGATTCTCTAAATTACTGGATGCAGCGATTTGTGTTGGAATTAGAAAACAAGGAATATCCACCTCGCTCCCTGTACTACATAGTGTGTGGTTTGTTACGCTTCAAGTTTATGAGAGACGAAAACATTCATTTATAAAAATGTGCTTACAGTGTGAATTTCGTTTTGGATTTAAAAACAAGAGGCCCATGGGCCACATCACTCACCTGAGCACAGTGGATAGGCAAAAGCACAAATCAGTATCAGTTCAGTATTGAAAAGATTCCGGGGGGGGGGGGGGGGGGGGGGGGGGGGGGGCTTGAATTTTAAACTACCTGATGATGCTTCCATGTCAAAATAACAAATGGCTTTGTTGTACTTGAGAAGATTTTTAAAACAATTTCTGATATATTCCTTTGTAAAAATTTGATCCCCCCTTGTGGCTCCTCCCTATCCCAGGGGTCATCATTTGAACAAACTGGAATCTACACTACCTGAGGATGCTTCCATATCAATATGACTAAACATAGCTTTTCTGTTCTTGAGAAGAAATATTTTTTCTATATGTTCTTCTGTAACATTCGATCCTCCATTGTGGCCCCATCCTACTCTCGGGGGTCATCATTTGAACAAACTTGAATCTAAACTACCTGAAGATGCTTCCATATCAATATGACTAAACATAGCTTTTCTGTTCTTGAGAAAAAATATTTTTTCTATGTGTTCTTATGTAAAACTTTCTATCCCCCTATTCGCCCCCACCCTACCCTCGGGGGTCATCATTTGAACAAAACTGAATTTACACTACCTGATGATGCTTCCATATCAAAATGACTAATCATGGCTTTGCAGTTCTTCATCAGAAGAAATCTTCCTATATATTTCTATTTCAGACTTTGATCCTCCATTGTGGCCCCACCCAACCCCAGGGGGGCAACATTTGAACAAACTTGAATCTACACTACCTGAGTATACTTCCACATGAATATGATCAATCAGGGCTTTGCTGTTCTTGAAAGAAGATTTTTAAAGATTTTTCCTATATATCTCTATGTAAAACTTTTATCCTCCTTTGGGGCCCCACCCTACCCCCAGGGGTCATGATTAGGACATACTTAAATCTACACTACCTTAGGATGCTTCCATATCAATATGATCAATTAGGGCTTTGCTGTTATTGAGAAGAAGATTTTTAAAGATTTTTCCTATATATTTCTATGTAAAACTTTGGTACTCCATTGTGGCCCCGCCCTACCCCCCGGGGGTCATGATTTGAACAAACTTGAATCTACACTACCTGAGGATGCTTCCATATAAATATGACCAATCATGGCTTTGCTGTTCTTGAGGAGAAGATTTTTAAAGGTTTTTCCCATATATTTCTATGTAAAACTTTGATCCTCCATTGTGGCCCCGCCCTACCCCCGGGGGTCATCATTTGAACAAACTTGAATTTACACTACCTGAGGATGCTTCCATATAAATATGACTCATCATGGCTTTGCTGTTCTTGAGAAGAAGATTTTTAAAGGTTTTTCCCATATATTTCTATGTAAAACTTTGATCCTCCATTGTGGCCCCGCCCTACCCCCGGGGGTCATGATTTGAACAAACTTGAATCTACACTACCTGAGGATGCTTCCATATAAATATGACTCATCATGGCTTTGCTGTTCTTGAGAAGAAGATTTTTAAAGGTTTTTCCCCATATATTTCTATGTAAAACTTTGATCCTCCATTGTGGCCCCGCCCTACCCCCGGGGGTCATCATTTGAACAAACTTGAATCTACACTACCTGAGGATGCTTCCATATAAATATGACTCATCATGGCTTTGCTGTTCTTGAGAAGAAGATTTTTAAAGGTTTTTCCCCATATATTTCTATGTAAAACTTTGATCCTCCATTGTGGCCCCGCCCTACCCCCGGGGGTCATGATTTGAACAAACTTGAATCTACACTACCTGAGTATACTTCCACATAAATATGATCAATCAGGGCTTTGCTGTTCTTGAAAGAAGATTTTTAAAGATTTTTCCTATATATCTCTATGTAAAACTTTTATCCTCCTTTGGGGCCCCACCCTACCCCCAGGGGTCATGATTTGGACATACTTAAATCTACACTACCTTAGGATGCTTCCATATCAATATGATCAATTAGGGCTTTGCTGTTATTGAGAAGAAGATTTTTAAAGATTTTTCCTATATATTTCTATGTAAAACTTTGATCCTCCATTGTGGCCCCGCCCTACCCCCGGGGGTCGTGATTTGAACAAACTTGAATCTACACTACCTGAGGATGCTTCCACATGAGTTTCATCTTCCCTGGCTTTGTTGTTCTTGAGAAGAAGATTTTTAAAAGATGCTATTAATTTTTCACTAATTCTTTATTATCTCCCCTTGAAAGAGGGCGTGGCCCTTCATTTGAACAAACTTGAATCCCCTTCACCCAAGGATACTTTGTGGCAAGTTTGGTTGAAATTGGCCCAGTGGTTCTTGAGAAGAAGTCGAAAATGTGAAAAGTTTACAGACAGACGGACTACAGACAAAATGTGATCAGAAAAGCTCACTTGAGCCTTCGGCTCAGGTGAGCTAAAAATTGACGTGCAAAATTTAGAATTTTTTATGCAGACCTAAGGAAAGGTATACCTTCACTATGTTTATATGTGTTTGTATTTTGCTCATAAAGTCAGCTACTTTGTTTATATTCATTTTCTTTATCAGTGTAAGGTCAAAGGTCATTGGAATTGTTGCATCATTACCCTGGTGTGTTCTATCTTGATAGAACATGGTTGTTAGAGCACAGTTAGTCATGGTGTATCAAAAATAAAAACAGAGTCGACATCAAAGGAAAAATACCGCAGCAATGATACAAATGTATCATATGACACATCCTTGAAAATAAAATTACAAACCAGTTTAATGGATCTGAAAAACAGTAATTTTGAGTCAGTTTTTAGCTAGAGCGAGAAATTTGGGGTTTTTTAAAGAAAGAAAAGGAAATTAAATTAGATTTAGAGCAGCCCCCTTCAAAATTGTGAACATATTTTTGACAAGTTTTCATTTCATATATCTAGTGCTGACTTATTTACCAATGGGTAAAATTATCAACACAGTATGACTTAACAGAAAATATTAAGAGCCCACACTTACCTGTGCTACATTCCCTTGTTCATGAACAAAAATATGACTTTTGTGACCCAGAATAACTTCCAATCCTCTCTCGGGACAATGAGTCAGAACTGGAAAAAATAAATTTTTCATTACTGGGTATCTATTTATGATTGATGGTATGTTTATTCCCTCTATCATTAAGAAACTTTAGTGACCAAGTCAATTACCCATCTAACACATGAGAAGAAAGTATTTCATGTGATTACCGGTAATAGTAAATTGCTAGTGATAATAAAGCAGTACAAACCTGAAACAAGATTGCCCATTGTACCAGTAGGAACAAACAATGCTGCCTCCTTGTCAAACAGTTTTGCAATTCTGTCCTGTAGAGCTGAAAATAGAGACATAAGGCAAGATTTTTTTAAAATAGCAAATTTGGTTCTCTTCACATTTATTAATACATGTGTATCCTCAAAAAAAAAAGAAAAATCATCTGATGCACGTACCATTTACTGTTGGATCCTCTCCCATGACATCATCTCCGACTTCAGCAGTTGCCATGGCATTCCTCATTTCTGGTGAAGGCTTAGTCACCGTGTCACTGCGGAGGTCCACCACATGTATGTCTGATCGCGGCTGCTGATCGAGCTTGTGGTCGTAGTAACACCTTTTGCCATGGCACACAGAAGCCATTTCTTTCAGTATAGGGCAGGAAAAGGCCCTCCTCATACCAGGAAACATTTGCTTGGAATAGAACTTTTTCTAGCAGTTCTACAGAAAAGAACAGGAGGCCAATGAGTCACAATACTCACTGGTGACTTATTTCTCTGGAATCCCTTATTGCGGTCTTGCAGTTAATGCATATTCGTGTTTAAAGGAATCTTAAATCTGACTAAGCATATTGATCAACATAAGTTCATGTCCAAGTTTTTTTTCATTATAAAGGTCTATAGATTCCTATACTTTTACTTTATACCCTTTGAAAAAATATCGTGGCTACACTGTAGGAGTGGGGAGAGGGATGATTTGAACAAATTTTTAACAAAATTGAATCTATACTACATGGGGAAGCTTGTATATCAGTATAACTAACTTGACCCCGATATCCTTGAGAGAAAAAAAATCTTTATGAATTGTACTATTTTGTTAATTCATCAATAATTCTCTCTCCTTTATAAGGACAGGATCCCTCTTTTCAACATACTTGACTCCCTTTAACATGGATACTTTGCGTCATATATTATGGTTCCTGTGACCTAGTTAGTATACACTAAATATAAAATAGATGGTTACTGTCTTGAAATATAAGCCATATTTGGGTGAGGGTAAGAAAACGTGATAGAAGGCAAGGCTTACCGAGCCCTCTATCACATTTTCGATCTGAGCCCAAATATCGCTTATATTTCAAGACAGTATCCACGTATTTTGTTTATCCTGCAATATATTTTTTACATCAGACCTCCAAAAGAGCTATTTTCCACCGGTTTAGGTACATTTCTGCGGTTCAAACTAAGACACCATGGCGTAAACATTGCAATAAATATGACGTCACAATGCTTTTAGAATGTCGGAATACATGCACATGGCTTTATTAGGGGATTGACCAAATATAGCTTTGGTTTATTAGGTTACCTTTATTAGGTCAATGCAAGGGGTAGTTGCAGGATAAAAGCATATACAATGTATTTAGTATACAGTCAAACTTTGTTATCTCGAACTCGATAGGACCGGAAAAACAAGAGGCCCAAGGGCCTTAACGGTCACCTGAGTACAACAATTTAGAGGATCCATAAACTGATAAATGAAGCTTTGTTGCCCAATAGCAAGAAAAATAGTAGGATTAAGATCAACAAAATAATTGGTCTAGTACCTTTCTATCTGTCCCCCATTTATCACTTTTACCATGCCGACTTTTAGCAAAATGTCTATATTATTACCTCTCATATTGGCCTCACTTGGCCTTTGAAGAACATTTAAAAAGATAAGTCATTTTTGTTTCATTTTTATTCATCTATTATTTAAAAGTCTACCTGATTATTAAAACTCTGAAAGTACTTTTTGTTTTATTCAATAAATGTTCTTGCATAATTCTTTTATTCTAATAACCTTTCAAATACATTATCTACAGTGATTAATTACCAAAGGTGAATGGCAAAGGGGAATAACTTCACTCAGTAGAATACAAATTAATAGAGCCCTGGCCAGGACCAGAACTCTTGATTAAATGGTCCAGATGTTCAAAATTCTGGTAAAAATACCCTTGCTTATTAAAACTTACTCTGTTTGCTTCCAATATGCCCAGGAGCAGAGGAGATTTTCAAAGAAATAATGCATTTTCACTATTCAACACAGCCCTACCCTAACACCAGAACCCATGACCTACGGTCATGAAAATTTACAAATTTGGAAGAGGTACCCTCATCATCATAACTATGCAATTAGTTGAAGATTTTCAAAGAATTCACACATTTTCACTATATATTCAAATAGACCCCCCCCCCCCCTCTCAGAGAAACAACAGAACCCCTGGGACCACAAGTTTAAAAAATTTCTTAAAAGCATCCTTGCTCATCATAACTATACACTTGTTTCTTTGCTTTATAACCAGGAGTAGAAAAAAATATTTTGAAAGAAATTATGAATTTTCACTATATAATCAATAGAGTCCCCCCCCCTTTCACCAGAACCCCTGACCCAGGGGCCATGAAATTCACAATTTTGGTAGAGGCACTCTTGCTTATCATAACTATGTACTTAGTTAGTTTATTTCATACCCAGGAGCAGAGAAGAAGATTTTCAAAGTTTTAATGCATTTTCACTATATAATCAATAAAGCCCCGCCCTAACACCAGAACCCCTAACCCTGGGGCCATGAAATTCACAATTTTGGAAGAGGCAGTCTTGCTCAACATAAATATGTACTTAGTTAGTTTATTTAATACCCAGGAGCAGAGAAGAAGATTTTCAAAAAATAATGCACTTTTACTGTATGATGTATATAGCCCCACCCTAGCACCACTACCCCTGACCCTGGGGCCATGAATTTCAAAATTTTGGTAGAGGGCTCAATCCTTATTACAATGATGCCAACAGTTTGACTGCTTGATATCCAGGAGTAAAGAAGAAGATTTTTAAAGATTGCATTAATTTTGGTGGTTTTAGCCCCACCCCTCAGGCCCCAGGGGGGCAGGGACCATGAATTTCACAATTTTTGTTCCCCTTCACCCATAAGTGCTATATGCCAAAATTGGTTGAAATTGGTTGAGCGGTTTCAGAGAAGAAGCTAAAAATGTTCAAATGTTAACACACGACGCACAACAAACGAGGAACGCCGACGGACAAAAATGGATAGCAATAGGTCACCTGAGTGACTCAGGTGACCTAAAAATTCGAGATATCCGATGGTTTGAGATATTAAGGGTAAAATACTTAAAGAATAAGTGATTGGGACTTTCAAATCACTTCGACATATCCATGGTATTCGAGATATCAGTGTTCAAGATACCGAAGTTCAACTGTATATACATGTGGGTCATGGGTGGCTCTGAAAATGTAGAAAAAAATGGATTACTTATGTAGAGTTTTATACAATATGTATGTAGACAGACTAAACGTTCACTAAAACTATGACTCAGATGAGCTTACAAATATTTCCCCCTTATTTTCTCATTAGAGTAATAGTAATTAATGAAAGTTGCTATGTACACTTTTCAGTGATTGAAATGTATTTCACCAATTTCATAATATAATACATGCATATAATCAAGGTGTCTTCAAGTAATATGCCTTTTTCAAATGAACAATTAAACATAATCAATTTTGTACCACCAAGTGCCTTAAGTTCAATCAACATGGAAAAACAAGACGTGTTTGTGAAACACTGATGCCCCACATATGGCAGCTCATGGTGAAGGTTAAAGTTTCTCTAATCCAAGTCAAACTCCAAGGTCAAGAGAACAAAAATGTTGGTACCCAAAGAAAGGTCTTGTCACAAGAAATAGACCTGTGAAATATGAAAGCCCTAGCACCAACCGTTCAAAAGTTATGGCCAAGGTTAAAGTCTTTCAAAAGTAGGTCAAACTCAAAGGTCAAGGTTAAAGGGTAAAAATTACTGGTATCCAAAGGAAGGCCTTGTCACATGAAATATGAAAGCCCTAGCTCCAAATATCCAAAAATTATGGCCAAGGTTGAAGTTTTTTAAAAGTGAGTCAAACTTCCAAGGTAAAAAATATTTGCACCCAAGGGTGGTCTTATCACATGGAATACACATGCCCTCGCACCCACCATTCAAAAGTTATGGCCAGGGTTAAAGTGTGGTAAAATTTTACAAAAGTGGTTCAAATTCCAAGGTCAAGGTCAAAAATATTTGCACCCATGGGAAGGTCTTATCACAAGGAATAAAAGTGGGTCAATCTTCAAGGTCAAAGTCCAAAATATTTGCACCCATGCCCCAAGGATAGATCTTCTCACAAGGAATACACACGTGAAGTATGAAAGAACTAGCATTCTAGCACCCACCGTTCAAAAGTAATGACCAAATTTAAACTGTGGTAGAGGTCAAGAGGTCAAATATGTTGGTCTTGTTACAAGGAATATACAGGTAAAATGTGAAAGCATAGTTCTAACCAATCAAAAGTTTTGCACAAGGTTAAAGTTTTTGCAAACAGACTGACAGATGGGCGAACATAGCAAAAACTATATGCTCCCGAATCTTAGATTACGGGGGCATAAAAACGTCATCTGAACAGATTCATGACCATTACACATCGTTTTGGATCAGTTGCCCTCTCCGTAAACAAAAAACAATCATGTGTGACCACAGGGACTTGTCACGAAATATTTACCTTCTCTTAATATAGTTACCCCTACTATAAAAATACACAGGTGTGTATTTTTATAGTCAGTCTAGACGAACTCCAAAAACAACGTTTCCGGAAGTAAGAAATTGAGACTGAAAAAGACTCCGAAAATAGAGTCTGCGCATGCGCACACACACAAAAAATGGCGATTTTTGAGCAAAAATGATGGGTCTACAAAAACTGTCCGTGCAAAGTTTTGGAAAGTATGGCAATTATGCCAGTACTCAGAAATGCTAAACAAAAGACGTTGGAAGAGATCGTATTCGTTAGATTTTTGATTTTATTTGCAAAAAAGGAGATATTTACTTTCAAAGTTAACGTTTCAGGTCAGATCAATCACAGAGAAAATGATACGTTTTGAGAAGTAAATATGCATAATAAAAGGGATATATATATGCAAAATGGGACAATATGTATTGTAACTGTTAAAAACTTGACTGAATTTTACACATAAATTAGCATTACGGTTTTTTAATTTGTGTACGACATCTGAATTGAACGCGTAAGTTTTTACCATCGTTATTTACCGATTTTTTATCACATACGAACAGATATTATAATTATGAAAACATTTTTAAAACTATTATCTATCAATATAAAAACTTTAAAAACCACTCTTCTAGATATTAAGGACACAACATGTCTTCTAAAAATGAACATGTTAATATCTCTGCTCCGTGGTGAAAAATGCGCATTTTCTGATTAAAATAAATACAAGTTGGGTGTCTTCAATACTAAATAAAAGCACCTTTATTGTAGGAACGACATAAAATTTAAATCAAGGAGACAATAAATTAAATAAGAAAATATTTCTTACCGGCAGAATTGAATTCGATGTCGTATATCCAATTCACTATTATGCAAGAGTTTGAAGCGATAAATAAGTCAATATCCACAAAATAATTCAATAAATGCAATTATCCATTCAACAAAAAATAAAACGAAGTAATAATGCACTAAATACAGCCATTATGCAGCCGTTTATTTGGAGAAAGCGAGCGACAATCCATTGTTTGTTTACATCGGACGCCATTTTGCCGCAATGCATGATGGAGCCAAAGACTTCATTTTCGGAGTTCACGCTGTTTTTGGAGTTCGTCTAGACTGATAGTAGGGGTAACTATATTAAGAGAAGGCAGGTCCCTGGAGAAGGTAAATATTTCGTGACAAGTCCCTGTGGTGTGACCATGTATACATAAAAAGAAATCTTTTCTTTCTTCTATTTCTTTCGTTTGCAACACATCATAAAACTTTTTCTCTACGTTTAAGACACCCTTTATTTTTTTGCAAGACAATACCTTTTTTTTTTTAAATTCACCTTACAAAACGTAGTCTACGGTGGTACTTTTAGGACACGTAATTATTTTTTTTAATATACCAGGAAAAATATTTATCTCGTGAAAACGACATATTATCTCGTGAAAACGACATATTATCTCGTAAAAACGAGATAATATCTCGTGAAAACGACATATTATCTCGTTTTCACGACATAATATCTCGTTTTCACGAGATATTATCTCGTGAAAACGACATATTATCTCGTTTTCACGACATAATATCTCGTTTTCACGAGATATTATCTCGTGAAAACGACATATTATCTCGTGAAAACGAGATAATATGTCGTGAAAACGACATAATATGTCGTGAAAACGACTTATCTCGTGAAAACGACATATTTTTTCGACGTTAAATTTTGTTACATACATTGAACAACCTGATTTAGTATTTTGCTATTCGTTGTCAAATAGGGTTGAAGAGTGTACAAGAGAGGAAGTCATTAAGGAATGCTTTCATTTTGGTTTCAAAGATCATTAAAAAAATATTAAGAAATTTCAGAATACAAATACTACAGCTCCTAGATAAAAAAAATGTCGCATTAAGGAGACTAGATCCAAACCAACGTTGATATTCAGCAAATATATGTTATGTAAAACAGTTTGGAAAAAATGGCAAATATGGTCATAACTCTTTTTAATTCGATCAACAGGAATGAAACTCAAACTTGATCTGTATCTTAAGCTCAGTTATAGGGGACATTTTGATTGAAATTGCACAGGGTTACACAATATAATGTATAATTATAATGTAACTATGGATGTATAACTTAGTATACATGCTCAATGCAACTTTTATTTAATAAAATATAATATTATATTAACATATTTATTGTCATCTATCTCAATCACTGACAAATAGATTTGAAAAGGCAATAATAAGTATTTCAGGATAGCACATTGTCTTGTCAGAAGGACATTAATTAATATAGCTCACAATACAATATACCAGAAGAAAAAGTTTCTCAAATCTAGCAGAAAACTACTTGGTTATGAAAGAAAGCATGATCCATATATAATAAGTATGTAAGTGAAATTGGGGAAAAATAATCAATTTTGGTAAATATGATTTTCTAAAATTTATTTCACACAAGATTATATCTCGTTTTCACGAGATAATTTCTCGTTTCCGGGAGATAATAAGTCGTTTTACGAAATATTATTTCGTTTTCACGAGATAATATGTCGTTTTCACGAGATAATATCTCGTTTTCACGAGATAATATCTCGTGAAAACGACATATTATGTCGTTAAAACGAGAAAATAAGTCGTTTTCCCGAGATATTATGTCGTTTTCACGAGATAATATGTCGTTTTCACGAGATATTATGTCGTTTTCACGAGATAGTTTTTCGTTTTCACGAGATAAATATTTCCTGGTATCTTAAAAAAAAATTATTACGTGTCCTAAATGTACCACCGTAGTAGTCTCCTTTGCCGGTGTAAGAAGTAGGACACATTTTGGAGTTATCTTTCCTTACCCAAAACAATTCGATCAAAGAACGATTCGTCCTAGATTTTCACTTTGCACACCTCGGCCGATTGTGACGGAATCATCAGAGGTTTTCTAAGTCCCTAGTTCAGTAACAATTTGTTTGAAATTTTATTTCATATTTCTGTCGTTCTCACTAATTCCTGACTATTCTTTATCTCTGTCCATAGCTGCAGATCTCTCGATGGTCTGATAAAAACAAGAGGCCCATGGGCCACATCGCTCACCTGAGTAACTTTGGCCATGCTGTTCATTACCAGACTTCCCCCCTTGTAATACCTATTGTGGCCCTGCCCTACCCCCGGGGGTCATGATTTGAGCAATTTAGAATCTACACTACCCCAGGATGCTTCCACATAAGTTTCTGTTTTTCTGGTCCAGTGGTTCTTGAGAAGATTTTTAAAGATTTTTCCTATATATTTCAATGTTTCCCTATTGTGGCCCCGCCCTACCCCCGGGGTCATGATTTGAACAATTTAGAATCTACACTATCCCAAGATGCTTCCACATAAGTTTCAGCTTTTCTGGCTCAGTGGTTCTTGAGAAGAAGATTTTTAAAGATTTTTCCTATATATTTCAATGTAAAACTTGTATTCCCTATTGTGGCCCTGCCCTACCCCCAGGGGTCATGATTTGAACAATTAAAAATCTACACTACCCCAGGATGCTTCCACATAAGTTTCAGCTTTTCTGGCTCAGTGGTTCTTGAGAAGAAGATTTTTAAAGATTTTTCCTATATATTTCAATGTAAAACTTGGATTCACTATTGTGGCCCCGCCCTACCCCCGGGGGTCATGATTTGAACAATTTAGAATCTACACTATCCCAGGATGATTCCACATAAGTTTCAGCTTTTCTGGCTCAGTGGTTCTTGAGAAGAAGATTTTTAAAGATTTTTCCTATATATTTCAATGTAAAACTTGTATTCCCTATTGTGGCCCTGCCCTACCCCCAGGGGTCATGATTTGAACAATTTAAAATCTACACTACCCCAGGATGCTTCCACATAAGTTTCAGCTTTTCTGGCTCAGTGGTTCTTGAGAAGAAGATTTTTAAAGATTTTTCCTATATATTTCAATGTAAAACTTGGATTCACTATTGTGCCCCCTCCCCTACCCCCAGGGGTCATGATTTTAACAATTTAGAATCTACACTACCCCAGGATGCTTCCACATAAGTTTCAGCTTTTCTGGCTCAGTGGTTCTTGAGAAGAAGATTTTTAAAGATTTTCCTATATATTTCAATGTAAAACTTGGATTCCCTATTGTGGCCCGGCCCTACCCCCGGGGGTCATGATTTTAACAATTTAGAATCTACACTATCCCAGGATGCTTCCACATAAGTTTCAGCTTTTCTGGCCCAGTGGTTCTTGAGAAGAAGATTTTTTAATGACCCCACCCTATTTTTGTCTTTTCTTGATTATCTCCCCTTGTAAGGGGATTTGGCCCTTTATTTTAACAATTTAAACTCCCCTTCACCCAAGGGTACTTTGTACCAAGTTTGGTTAAAATTGGCCCAGTGGTTCTTGAGAAGAAGTTGAAAATGTGAAAAGTTTACAGACGGACGGACGGACAGACGGACGGACGACGGACAACGGGTGATCAGAAAAGCTCACTTGAGCTTTCAGCTCAGGTGAGCTAAAAAGGGATGGACGTCCACCTCAATTTCTTCAGACCAGCGAACAACATATCTGCAGCTACTCTGTCCATTATTCCAACAACAAAAGTATAACAAACAGAAATTATCATAAAACATTATTTTATTAACATTAACATTAATATGTAAAACTATCTATATAAAGCAATTACATACAGCAAATCATCACAAATAAAATGTAAATGAAATATTGCAACTTCCATACAAAATATTAAGGTAGTATAATTATATAAAACTACATCACAAATCTGATCACAATGTAAGAACCTCCAAGTCCATAAACTCCTCTGTTACTGCCATACCTGCAGAGATAAGAGAATATCTATGTATTTTAGTCTTCATATTAATTACTTTATCAATTAAGTGAAATTTAATCTTTCATCACCTATGAAAAAAATAATGTCACACTGTAATGGTAAATGAGTGTTCTATATACCTTTACTGTGCTGTCCACAGAACCAGAGAAAATCCTTCCTCTAGAAACAGCTAAGCAAGCTACACTGCCCTGGTGTCTCAACAATGTCTGTGTGCAAATCATATTATCCATGCTCCAAACCTAAAACATAAAAATGATTTATAACAAATGTAAAATGTTATGAATTTGTATAGTATGAAAATTATATCCATGTAATTTCTTTGAAAGGGGTGATTAAATAGCTTTTCTCCCTGTCCCCTTTTTCCAAATAAATGTACAACATGCACTTCGTAAAATAAAATCTTTGCTCATTTTCAAGAGTAGAAAAATTTTTCTCCAACGTCCAACAAAGAAAACTGCAATTTTCTGACTCAAAAAAATTAAATCAAGCACAAGTAAAGTATTCTAAATTTAAAACAGCACTGACTCTGAGTGATCGGTCATATGAAGCACTGAACACTTTAGTCCCAGATGTTGTGTGAAGAACAGCCATGCTATACACTGTTCCTGTGTGACCTTTCAGGGTCACCACTAACTCCTTAGAGACCAGCTCCCATACCTGACAATAAGAGAGAAATAATACATAAATAAACATTGTTCAGTCAGTATGTTACTATACACAAAATAACATAAGGAATGAGTCTTACATGGATGACATTTTCGTAAGTGCCACAAAGGATGTGGTGATTTGTGACTGCTAAACTGTAAACACTACCCTCTGACGTCTCGAGATTGTGAACAACCTCCAAAGTGTCCAAATCCCAGATCTGAAACAGAAATCATACTTTCTACATTGAATATAACCAACATATGTATATATTTTAGAGCATTGACAACTTCCAAAATTGTACATTCTATTAAAATTTTTGAAAAATATGCTCAACTGTCAGTGAATAGATCAAATTCCTTACATTGTATTATATACCCTAAAAGTGGAATTTTTAGTGAGACGCAAATTTAGTGATTTGTCCTAAAAAAATCGGTATTTAATTTTAGCGAGAAATAATTTTAGTGATTTTATGATGCATAGAAAGATAACAGTTACCTCTAATACGGAATAAATTGTTAGCGATATTTAATTTTAGCAGTCTTGACACTCTCGCTAAATATGCCAAAATTGAATCCTCGCTAAAATTTCTGCTTATGCAGTATCATAACCTTTACTGACTAGTGACTATCTATACCATTATTGTATGATAGAAACCAACAAAAGCCCTCATTGTCTACATTCAAATGTCTGCCATTATGTAAATATCTACAGGTAACTTGAGTTATCAATAAAACCTGATAACAACTCTTAACTTTACTGTGTTTTAGGTGGCCCCTATAATTATTTTCTGGTAGGAGCCCCAGTATAAGTAGTTTTGGGTGGTTACGCTTACCTTTATTGTCTAGTAGGAGCCACGGTATAAGTAGTTTTGGGTGGATAAGCTTACCTTTATTGTCTGGTAGGAGCCACTGTATAAGTAGTTTTGGGTGGCTACAGTTACCTTTATTGTCTGACAGAAGCCACTGTATAAGTAGTTTTGGGTGGCTACATTTACCTTTATTGTCTGGTAGGAGCCACTATATAAGTAGTTTTGGGTGGCTACCAGAGCCCTGACCCAGTGGTTCATTCCTGTCAGTTCCTTCTTCAGCTCCATTGTGTGGGCATCCCAAACCTAAAGAAAATACAAAAGGATTGTTTTTTTGTTTTTTTTTTTTACATTCCAACCTCTCAAATCAACTTACTTTTTTCAGGAAATGGGGATATTTTTGCATGTTTCTCTATTAAGCTCTGTAAAATTTCTATAGAATGCAAACAATCATCAACCTTACCTACATGTATTTTTTCTAGATACTAAATGTATTGAAAAAATAAAAGCTACAGGTAATTGTGGAAATGCAACATCTTTGATACCAAAACCAACTGTATCTCCAATCTCTCCTACATCCCCCCCCCCCCCCCAAGCAATCTCACTACCTTTACCTCTTCATTTATATACTGTGTACATGAAGTTCTCTGTGTAAAGATGGACATAAAATGACCACTGCATTGGACAACTTATAATTGCTCCAGTCAAGAAACAATGACCTCAAAATATCTTTACATATTAACATTTTAACTGATTTATGCAGACTTAACATCACTACTATCTTTTAATATTAATTTCTCACCTTGATCACTTTTAAGGACCCACTGAACAGCATGTTTTTGGCTGAGGTCAAAGTACACACAGGATTTTCATGAGCTTCTACTGAATTCTCTTTCTCAAAGTTTTCAATATTCCATACCTAAAACATATCAATTCAATGTTTTTATTTACGTGATATACATGCTTAAACTCATTCTATTAATGCCAAAAAAAGAAAAAACTGTCTCCATGACAGAACGTGCATGACACTATCACCTATACATTAACTAGAAAACTGACCAGTCAGCAAGGGCCCCACCAAGGGGTAGATGTATAAGGGTGCAGCTTACAGAATGAGAATTTTGATTACAAAAATTAAAAAATATATGACAACTGTATTTATAAAATTTCAAGATAATTCCTAAATATCCAACAACCTGTAAAGAGTATCCCTGTATTTACATATTAAGGCAGTAAAAAACATCATATCTATAATAACTCAATTAAATGTATATTTAAACAAGAATAAAGCATGTGTTTTTTAAAATGCCAGCCTTCAGTGAATGCAAATATCACCCAGGCTTGACCTCAACTTCAGAACAAACATCAGACAAAGGTTAATTTATCTTAAAGTGACAAATAAAGATAAGTCTGGAAAATTTTCTGCCCCAGACAAGATAATTAATCCCAGGGGATTAATTGTACTGCTCTCTCATCCTTTTCTTCCAAGTTTACAATAAGAACTTTTTCAGTAATGATAGAATGAGTTTATTATCAGACTACATGATAAAATTAATAGTATTCTTGAATTTACATACAGCAGCCAAAAAAAAAAAAAACAAAAAAAAAAACAAATAAATAAATAAATCAATTAAAAAAAAACAACATGTCTTTATGTATATTTTGTTTTTAGAATTCAATAAAATCATAACTCATTGTGTATTTTACCAAAATAAAGTATGAATATTATTTAAATCCACATTTCAGAGAATGTAAACATCATTCAGAATTGACCTTAACTTCAAAACAAACTTCATTTGCAGACAGAGGTGTTAATTAATCTCAATTTGACAGAAACAGATAATGCTTTGGATTTTCTTCAAGAGGAAAGTTAATTAATTCCATGGGACTAGTTAATTAATGAAGATGTACAGTTTAATCTCTCTACTTTACCCTCTCCCCAAGCCTTACCCTGATTCTACAGTCTTGTGACCCACTGTAGAGTTTGTTGCCCCAGGTACAGAGGGCCAATACAATTCCAGTGTGTCCCTCCATTGTCTTTATACACCTGTAATTGTTACCTGTATCCCAAACCTACAAAATACATCGATATCTACAGGTATGAATAAAAAATATTACATACACATGTACAATATCACACTTCCTTGACTCATTATATTAAATCAAATGTACTGGAAAATGCTGTTCTTATTTTTTGTAACCTTTAAAGTACATAATTGTATGTACAGTATATACAATTGTATGTATAGGTACAAGAACATGTACATACCTATGTAACTCTTAAAAGTGTAAATATTCTCTTTACTGATCTTACTATGTAAATGTCTGTATTTAAGTTATATTTGTAAATGATTTGACAATGGTATATGTACAATGTTTGTCATAACATTAGAACCAATTACTTTTATTGTTTTGTCAGAGGAACCACTGAACAGAAAGTCTCCATATTCTGTTAAGCACCAAACAGGTCCCTGAAAAGATTTTAAGTAGTTTCATTATGATACCATTAATACTGTATCTAGAAGCCACACTATTTAAAGGACAAATAAATTATAACTACATAGTAATCTAAAAACATAAATGTTTCTACTCTTCTCTGCACTGAAAAAAAATTACGGAAGTACAAGTAAAAGTCTTCTTAATTTTAACTCGTACACATAATTTAATCTGAAGTTTAAGTCTGTCATATGCACATGTACAATTAAATAAAAAACATTCCAAACCTGATGTCCAACAAAAGTCCCACGGCATTTGAACATTTGCTGAGGATCATACACTGCAATAAGGAACAAATTTTGTTTTATCAGTTAAAACAAAATATATTTGTAAAACAAATTGTGAAAAGAATACAGAATTATTAAGATCTTGACAAATTGATTACTGAATTCCAAGTTTGACCTCCACCAGAAATAAAGCTGTGACCTTGATCAATATTCCAGTCATAAGGAGTTCATAAGAAATGAACAAAAACAAGGTAAACTTACAGTTAAAAAGATAAACCCAAAATTAATAGGACATGAGTCTGAAATCTAGTGGCATAAAAAAGAATATATTTATTACATGCAGAACTAATGGAAATGCATGTATGTGTGCAAGTGGTAATGCTTTAAAAAAAACTAAACGGTAGATTTTCCCATTCCCTTCACTTAATTTCCTGAGGTGTTATGTAAAATATGAAGAATATCTGGAATCAAAACAAGATTTATAAGAATAAAAGTGAAAACTGGAATTCTCTTTTCAAGTTTGCAACAAATTTATATCAAGAGAGGAAAGGTCAGGTACAATTAAATTTTCAGTGTTCCTTCTGGATTGGTCAAATATTTCAGTCTCTCTCAGAATTTTGTTAAAATGACCAGTCAAGATCTAAGAGCTGATAATAACAGTGAGCCAATTTTATCCCAGTCCTACTTCATAAACAAACGAACACAAATAATGTGTTTCTTAAACCAATAATGAAATCATCATGTTTGAAAAATAATTTGACAGCTTAACCAACTGACTTATTATTTCTACATTTTGGATACACATCATTTTATAAAAAAAAAATACAAGTGTAATTTAGAATGGAAATAATCAAGACAGTGATAATGAAATCTTAATTCTAAGATGCCCTGATTTAATACATCTACATAATCAATGCAAATAATATTAGACTTTTAACCTGCTCACAAATTTGTCACACAAAGGATCTAACATTCCATTAGGCCATGTCAGAATGAACAACAGACCAATCAAAGTCACTCACAGAATCTTGGGGGTGAAAATTTGAGAACAGAATTTTCCAATTACAATATGTAAATATATATGAATGGGCTTGAAGAATTCACCTTTAAAATCACAGAGGAGATGTGTGCATAATTTTTTTCCACAGCTATAAAATGATAAAATAGTGATGTACACATACATGTAATTCTGAATCTCAAAATCTGTAAGCAAATAAGGAGTGAATGTTTTCATCAACATCTGAATTACTTTCTTGGATTATTTTGTGTTGAAGTGTCCTGACAGGAATTCAAGTCTAATGGCTTAGATTTTGACATTTCCAAGATCTTTTGTGTAAGTAGTAAATAAACATACCAAGAACTGACTTAAATTAAATTGCCTTCATAAAAATGCCCTGAGTAGTACTAATGCAGACAACTTCATTAACCAATCAATAAATTTATCTGGAGGTCAAAGATCAAGGTCATATATGAGTGATAATCGTAAGCAAGATTATAATATATAGTGATCCACCCACATGTCAAATAGTGAGCATAAGCCCAAATGAAAATTTGAAAATGACCAAAGCTGATGCATTTATTAATTTAAACAACATTTTACTAATCTACTTGAGGTTTTTTTTTTTCAGGGCAAACATAAAATATATTGAAAATTAAAATGTGCATATTGTCCATTTCAATACCTTGTGATAAAAGAAAAAAAATGCTGTTAAAATAAACAAAAATTTAATAGTCAGGATTGTTAAATTTCAAAGAAATTGGCATATATAGCAGGGTCAAACAAATTTTAAAAAAAAAAACATCCCACACCAGTAAACACATGTTATTGTACCTCCAAACACTGAGTTCCTCCCGTTCAACACACTAGTTATATGTGCCACCTCGTTCTGAAGAAGAGGAAGACCAGAGTTATCTCCCTTACATAAGGTGTAAATTAATTTGAATAAAATTACCTCCATTGCGTCCATTCAACTGATTTTGTATGTTGGCTAGTTCATCCTACCAAAATATGAAAGTTCACATACATGCTTAAAATTATTACTGGACTAGAAAACTTATGTAATTGTATATGTAATCATAATATACCGTACTTTCAATTCTAATTTAAAGATTTACATAGGCAAAATATATCTTTAATTATGAATTTTTTTTAGTAAACATACCATGAGAAGGGCTCGCTCCTTGCGATTCTCCACAACCTCACTAAGTAAATTATTTTGAGTGCGTTCAATAAGTTCTAAAAAGGCAAAAACAGAAAGATATATTGACCTGCTATAGAACATTCACTTAAAACAGTATGCATTATCATACCTCATAAGGTGGTGAATCATCAAAATTCTCAACTACTATTGTAACTTTAAAAAAATATATAAATAGGTCATACAAATGAGCCTGACCTAGTTTCATTTCAGCACTTTTCTCTAGGTTCTCCAGTCTCTCTGACAGTTTCCCTAACATGGAGCGTAGGAAGTTGATTTCCTGATCCTTCTCCTCCAGGGATTCCTGGAGTTCCCCGATCTTCTCCTCCATGTGACCCAGAAAGTCCTTCACCCCTTCATACTTACAAACCTTCAGATGATCCTGAAGTTCATCTTGCGTTCCAGTAAACTCACAACTATGATGGATGTAAGAAATTTTATTCACAACTATGATGGATGTAAGAAATTTCAATTTTATTCATTTTCAAGAAATCAAGTCAGTAGTGTTGCTTCACAAAAGAGTTCCTCCCAACAAGAATAGATATAATGAAGTATAATTAAGAACATGTTATATTTCAATGAAGTTTGTCTTATCAGGTAATACATGTACTTCATCCCAGAATATTAACTATGCTTCAAGATCATTCAAAACATATTAGTTGGCTGTTTTCTAACCTTAGAGCAAAAGGATCTAAGTTTTGTTCTAAAATATCTGAACATTGTTTTTAGTACCCCACCTGTGTTTGTGATGAGGACATCGGACATTACTACACGTTTTATTATCCTACCTGTGTTTGTGATGAGGACATCGGACATTACTACACGTTTTAATGTGGTCCTCCAGGTCCTGTAATGAGAAAATAAATAAGTCCTCCGCACTGAATTAAAAAAAAAAACATTACAAGACTGTGAGTGTCTGTTACAAGTACTGACCTTTCTTAACAACTGTGGGCAGCCTGTGTGGTTTGGACACTCCACCATCATATAATCACAGGTGTCTTCATGCTCTCTGTAAATCAGATCAATTTGTAATTAAGATATTTAACACCAAATTTTATGCAATGAAAATGAATGCACTTACATATTTTTCAATTACATAAAAGCAGTCTCAGGAAGTTTGAATTAAAGAGATATTATTTTTGTAGTTCATTCAGCACATAAATAAAATCAGATGGACAATTACATTGTATATATGTAACTGAACCACCATTATAACTTACACTCTGCAAGAGACTTTGACAGTGGCCTGGCATCTTGTGGGATCCACCTCATAGGACTGACCATCCTCTGAGAGGCGACATCCATGGCGACAGTAGATGAACATCTCTCCGATCTGTTCTGACACTGCAATGTTAGCCACCACAACAGCTATTGTCTGATTGTCTATTGGACAAACACCTGTTTAAAAGGAAAAAAAAACATAAGTAATCAAACCTCATTATATCAAACCTAGAAGACTAAGAAACCCTGAAATGTCCAAGTTTTTGAGATACATATACACATGTACTAAAGTTGAGATTCAAATAAGTATATAATACAAAGTATTATCTGAAAATAAAATGTATAGTTTTGTTGGTCTATTTTGGTAAAATATCTTCATTGATTGAATAAAATGTAAATAAAATTGACCAGAATAAAAAGTCAGGAGTGTGACTGAAATCCCTGATTCTGAAAATGATGATTACTAGTCATAAAATTTGATTTTTATTAAAACTCAGCATTTTTAAGAAAATGAAAAACTTAACATGTTTAAAGTTTTTCGAAAATATAGAGTTAGCTCTCTTTGAATATTATAAATCCACGAACAAAAATGGTCAGAAACTTCATTTCTCCATATATTTGAGAGCAAACCATCCAGGCCATGTTGACAGTCAATGACAGTGCAAAACTCACAGGCAAAAGGAAGAGTGGAAGAGTTATCTGTCAATTTATTTGCACAAAATAGCAAAGAGGATAAAATTATGTTAATTCAACTTTTCACCAAAATAGGGGGCCTGCACACATTGAAATACTACACTTGTTTTCCTGAGCATATTACTTTTTTCTTTCAATTTTTGTCAAGACACATAAGTATATTGCAAGACAGTGTACTACATTTACATGTTATTATTATGGTAAATGCCATGCAAATCAGTTCTACTATAAAATCAATATTTTGCTGATAAAATAACAACATTCACCTTCCATGGTGATATTTAGCAGTATAATTAGAGACCCACATAAAATGAAACTTGTATGTAAAAACTCCTCTACTAGCAGTAAATTCAAAACTCACTTTATACATTTAACCAAGGTAAAAGAATTAAGTTGGAAATGAAAATTTGATAGTAGTATGTCATATTAACAAAACTGATGAAAATACACAGTTAGTAAATATGACAATAATTCGCGATTTTTCAGAATAATGGAATTCAGTATTGTCCTGACTGGTCTAATCAATGTTTTAGAAAACAAAATGTACCTTCACTCTGTTGTGTGACACATCTTCTGCAATAGGAGTGCTACAACACAGAATAATTCATAATGAAATAATAAAAAGAAAATTGACTGAAATATTATATAATATGTTTAACACTTTTTTGAAAGATCTCTCTCAATGCATGATAAATTTATTTACTTTTCTTCACAGTACATGCATTGTAGAATTTTTAATGAAAGAATGTTAATCTTTTTAGATTTTCGGTCACCTCAATCAAGAGAAGAATTTATGATAATGTTGCTTTATTATAAATAACCAGCACTCTCACCTATTTGAAAGGTAATACTTACCCCACAAGTCACCATCAATGGATCCTTGTAAACACTGTTACACTTACCCCACAAGTCACCATCACTGGATCCTTGTAAACACTGTTACACATTTTACAGAAGAGACTTTTACTGGGCGGCTCAACAAAAACCATAATATCCTGTAAGTAATAATGGTACACATAAAAATACTTGTCAATGAACATAAATAAATCCCCTTCAAAAAACAAGTTTGATAAACAAGAGCTTTAAAATCCAAAGAAAAATCCCCATTTCTCATATCCACTATCTATAATTTCAGATGTACATGTACTGTAAACCACTATTCTTTTCCATGTTATTTTACATGCCTGGGCACAAAAAAGCAAAAGCAAAAATTATGTCATGAATAAATACAATGATATATCTAGCAAAAATAATATCCACTAAAATTCAAGTGGTTTACTGTAATCAGAAATTGTTGATTTACAATTGAGAATCTTCGTAACAAGGATCTAACCTCTGTTTCAGAATGATGGGGTGATGTAAGAGATTTTCGGTGACTAGGAGACATGGGCAGTGAAGCCGAGTCTGGGAGCCTTGGACTGGGTTCTCCATACGCTTGCATCCTCTGTCCAGTATCATTGTAGGTCATCTGGTGGGTGACAAGTTTACCTTCTTGTAGCACCATACTGTTGTTCATCTAACAATACAAATTAAGTCTGTATTAACATCTATTTTAAAAAAATGTCACTTTAAATTCAAGAAAAATGATAGATCTATTATTATCTTTTATTTTGAGCAAGTTTCATTAGAAAATTTTTTAAAAAATCACCCAGCTTTGTTCCTTTTTATATTGAACTTATGCAATGTTCTGTGTATCAGACTTATGAGATGATTTACAACAATACCAGGAGCACCACCAAGGTCATTTAGAATGTTAGAATTCTTCACATAAACAAAAGACATGCCTTTACAATAGACAAAGAAAAACTCAGAAGTACAAGGGAACATTTTTAACTAATTGAATACAAATGTGACAGATAATCTGGAAAAGATCTGAAGTCAGAGTAAATAAATATATCAATATTCTTGATGACAGGCAAATCATTAAAAGATACCAATAGAAGGAGACCTGTTAAATTGCAAGGGCTGGAAGAAATGTTATCAAATCGGATTGGTTGTGAAGATCAACAGGATCAATTACATGTCAATTCTACTAGCATAAAAGAAGTCAGCAAATTTTTTTCTCCCTTAGAAGCATGATCACTAGATGACATAAAAAAATTTCGAGACAGTTGTAGAGACTAGCATTTCAAATGCCAGGGGAACATTAGAACCACTGAAAACCATCCAGAGGTCTGCAAATTAAGGGTCATTATAACTTTGTGCAGTACTGCTGGAATCTTTCTCTGTAGAATCTTGGAAGCAATGAAGTTAACTACAAGCTGAATGTCCAGACAAAATGCCTCCAAAGAATTCTATGTTCCTACTGACCATATTAAATGAGGAGCTACATGCGAGAACAAACACTATCTTTATATCAAAAAATATAAAGCAAAGACAATTTTGGACTGGGCACATCATTTTTATGCACTTTAGCCCCACTATGGGTGCGGAAGCAATGGCTAGCCTAAGATAGTTCAAAATGGAAATTAATGGTGATGGAATCATGTGCAATCTAATAAGGAATAAGCTTATCATCTGACAACATTATAAATACATGAAATTCTGTTGTATGTTCATATGTAATACACAAAATAAATACTGGATTTAAACCAACCATTTGGTTATTTCTGTTTTCATTTCTGACTGGTGATGATGTGCAGGAAGAGGCCTGCTCTTCTTTTGCTAAATAAATAAAAATAATGGTTTGTGATATACAATTTATTGTAAATGTATAAGGCTAAGCATATCAAATCCTCACCCTGTAGGCCTTATGCAACTTGATAATAATTGAAGTCAGAAAATAATCTAGGCCATATCAAGGATTTATTGATCAACCAAACACCACTTGAAGTTTATATACAAATAAAATGCTATGCATTTCATGCAAGGACATTTCAAGCAACTGTAACAGGAATGGAGAAAAATGTGATAGACTAAAACCGGGCCTCCTGAATCACTAGTCAGGTGCTCTACTAACTGAGCTATTTGGCCACCCACAATTGAACCTGTCTGACCATCACATTCTTCTCTCCTTAAAATGAAATTTGAATGAAGTTTAGCCCTTGAGATACATGGTCCATACTTTCAAGACGACTTTATAACATGCCTCACATCTAAACTGTAATTATAATGTACCTGAGTTTGGTGGTGATGAACTAGGATGGTTTTCTCCATAATTCACAGAGGTAGACTGAAACTGAAAAAATAAAGCTATTAACACGGCATCTGTTATTTTATTAGAAAGAACATGCATTCTATTACCATCATTGCATTATTTTCTGCATATCTTTAACCATCATTGATAAACTTCGCATAAAAGGAGTGTAGCCAGTGGTAGCTATTTTTCAGAATTGTGCACTGTTGTAAATTACTTTGGGAATTTCTGTAAACCTTTCTTATTCATTTTTTTTTCTTTAAAACGTGCCATATTATGATTATACTTTTAAGTCCTGGAAGTGCATTATAAATTTACAAACATTACGAAAAGAAATTGTAAACAAATGACAGTCATTTCTAAATTTAGACCCCACTCATGCGAAAAAAAACCACGAAATAAGAAATCAAGGAATATCCACACTGGTGTTTTGAGGTAAAAATGTAGCTTTATTTAAATAACTGCAGTGTTTGACTCACTGAATTTGCTCTAATAGCGTAATCATCTAGTGGGTCGTAGTCCCGGTAGTTGTGTGCCATTTTCTGATTTTCACCTTTTTCTTCACTTCCTGTTTATGAGTTGCGTTCCGACTATATTAAATCGTTCGTATAATACCCCAACGACGGACGTCTAAGAAAACAGTCGTGAACTCGAAATTTTATTGGTTGGATAAGCAACTTTAGATGCCAAATACTGTTAAGATAATTGATGAAATGGACTCGATAATAAATGTTATATAGCCGTTTAAAAACATTGGCACTGGAGGACAAGAAGGGCACGGTAACCAAAAAAAGATGCATAAAATTTTTCCAGTCAGATGACAAAGTTACAAACCAGAAAACTGTAAAGGCTACTGTGAGGATTCTATGGGTTTTCCCCCAAAGATGGCGGCTAAGGGACATAACTTTTGAGAAGTGTGGATTCGACTATTGTTAAAAAATATATATCTTCTATACTATAAATATAATTATAGTAGATATATTTTTTTAACAATAAAGCTGGGAAGTGCCTATGATAGCCTGGTATCACACCTATTCACGTTACTTAAAAATGCCGGTTTCCAAAATTCTTGTCTCCCAAATGCGAAACAAGCACTATATCTTACCAGGCGGGCAAACTAAGACCATCCAACTTCTATTCATATCACATTCAACATGACAGTATTCCCAGATTTACCGAGAACAAATTACCTGAAAATTTCATAATACTTTACACCACCCAGATCAACAGCTTAATTGGTCTTAAATATTGTAATTTCTTTATTTTGTAGAGGCTTGGGAGATAAGTTTAAAGCAATTTTCTTGATTTCATTAAATTCACACATATATATATATATATATATATATATATATATAGAAAGCACAAAGAAATTCACTTTTACAAGGATACCCACTTCCGCCCCAGCCAGGGGTTGAACTCTCGATCTACGGAATCTGTCTCCTAGCAGTACAGGAACAGCGCGCTAGACCGCTCGGCTATCTAGGCAAGTCAAAAAAACTTGCTTTCGATGCCGATGGAATTCTCGCGGCGCTGCCCTACACTACACGGTCATTGAGAATGAGAGTGAGATACAGTTATTTGGACATTAGTTTTATTAGAGTATCGTTACCAATACACGTTGTAATGAAATTAAATTTATTTATAAAGCACATTTTACAACAACTCTTAAACTAACATAACTGCCCTAAGTGAAGAAATATTAATATAGAAAGCACAAAGAAATTCACTTTTACAAGGATACCAACTTCCGCCCCAGCCAGGGGTTGAACTCTCGACCGTGTAGTGTAGGGCAGCGCCGCGAGAATTCCATCGGCATCGAAAGCAAGTTTTTTTGACTTGCCTAGATAGCCGAGCGGTCTAACGCGCTGTTCCTGTACTGCTAGGAGACAGATTCCGTAGGTCGAGAGTTCAACCCCTGACTGGGGCGGAAGTGGGTATCCTTGTAAAAGTGAATTTCTTTGTGCTTTCTATATATATATATATATAGAGAGAGAGAGAGAGAGAGAGAGAGAGAGAGAGGATATTCAATGTTTTGTAGATGAATATGGAATTTATTTCACGAGTGGGACAGGATTTTTTGATATTTTCACGAGTGCGAAGCACGAGTGAAAATAAAAAAGAAATCCTGTCTCACGAGTGAAATAAATTCCATATTCATCTACAAAACATTGAATTTTCTGTTTATTACATTTTCTTTGATTTTCCCTTTGCCTCTGTCTTTTCTTAACACAGTGTCATAGGCTTGACGTCATAGTTGAGCGATTGAAACGTCATAGCTTAGAAGTTGTGTGATTGAAAACATTAAATAGCATGGATTTTAGCAACATTTTTGGGAAGAAATTTGCAGTTTTACCTCTATCAAGATGCTTAGTCACTATCTCTATCTTATGACAGGCCAGAAATTATTTTTACTTACTTTGATATCCTTTCACACTGTGAGAGAATATCATTTTTGGTATCCTTTCACAGTGTGAGAGAATATCACTTTTATTCAATTAATAAATCACAGTATTTCACTGTTGAAAATGTAATATATATATATATATATATATATATATATATATATATATATATATATAGATAGATAGATAGATAGATAGATAGATAGATAGATAGATAGATAGATATAGATAGATAGATAGATAGATATAGATATATAAAGCACAAAGAAATTCACTTTTATAAGGATACCCACTTCCGCCCCCGCCCGGGGTGGAACTCTCGACGTACGGAATCTGTCTTCTAGTACAGGAACAGCGCGCTAGACCGCTCGGCTATCTAGGCAAGTAAAAAAACTTGCTTTCGGTGCCTTGTGTTTGATTTTTCTTATGGTTTAGCAAGTCGACAATTTAATGACCAAACACATTCTAAAGAAGTCCATGGGTATTTTTTATTTTAATATCAGGCGACGTGATTATTTCCAAGAAACCTCGAAATTTAAAAATACATGTAACAACGTTCAATAGTGACAGAAGGGGGGGGGGGTATTCTTGAAAACAAAATTAGTTGGTTACCTGAAACTAGGGGGCCTGCACATGATGAAATTCAACCTGATGTTTTGTCAGGCATTTGTAAAAAAAAAAATCGAAAAACCTTTTCTCTCTTTCCTATGCATGTCTTTTACGTGGTGGCTATTTTATTTTGTTTATTATTCATGTCAATGTCGAATGTATAAACTATCAAAAATGATTTGCATAAAATAACTCGTGTTTAAAATTTTAAGTCAAAATTCTTATAAAAACAGACCATTCTAAAAATAAAATAAAATGTTTTTTCCGTCAGATCAGCTGTTTGAAAATGCAGATCAATTTTTAAAAAATGTAAAATCCCTTGATCAAAAGGTCTGCACGTGTTTCAAAATTAGGTCAAACCTGAATGTCAAGGTCACGGGGTCAAATATCATAGCACATTCGGAAACATTTTGACACAGGTATTGCACCTGTCAAATATGTCATTAAAAAGTAATCAGCAAAGTTAATTTTTTTGAGAATTAGGTCAAAGATGAAGGTCAAGGTCAAGGGGTCAAAAATCATAGCATGCTTGGAAACACCTTTCCACTGGTAATGCACAGGTCAAATATGAAAGCCCTATCTATTCTCAGTCAAAAGTTATAAGCACATATAAAATTTTTGGAAAGTAGGTCAAACTGCAAGGTCACGGGATCAAATACCATAATATATTTGGAAAGATCTTGTCACATGTAATATACATGTATAATATGAAGCCCTATCTTTTCTCATTCAAAAGTTATGACCAATCTAAAGTAATGTTAACATTTTTGAAAAATAGGTCAAAATTCAAGGTCACGGGGTAAAAAATCAGAATATATTTGGAAAGGTCTTGTCACAGGCAATGTACAATATGTGATATATGAAAGCCCTATCTTTTCTCATTCAAAAGTTATGACCAAGGTTAAAGTTTTTGTGACGGACAGACTGACAGGCGGACGGACTGACAGACAGACGAATGAGATTTAATATCCCCTCGCTTTCGCGAAAGCGGGGGACAACAAAGAAGGGAGACTTGTGTTTATCCAAAAACCAGAAAAGAACAGTGAATGAAAATTATGTAGGCTTTAAAGTATTAGTACATGTCATTAGTAGTCTTCACCTTACAACCAGGGATAACTGCACTCGTTAGAACATCGATTTTGCCAGAGTTAGTGAATGGAAGTATCTGATACAGCCCTCGATTTGATCTCTGTTCTCTCATCCATTTACAATTACTACTACAAACGCCGAGGACAACAGTCGCATACCTGATGAAGAAATTCTCTATTTTTATCAGATAGATGTATCTATTTAAGTGAGATAACTGTCATTTTAAGTCTCCCTGTGAGTCCTTCGGTGTGTTTGCTAGTAGAAATCAATAGCTATAGTATAGCTATAGTAGAATTAAACAAGATAAATGTTTCAATTCTTTTCAACAGAAACTCTTTTTTTTCCCATGGCTTGCCTAGCAATCCAAGAGTACATTATGTTTAATTTGAAATGGAGAGGATCCAGCAGTTTAAAGTGGAATAGTTTTATCAAAAAAACCTTTGGAAAATAGAGACACTTTCCAAAAATGTCGCTGAATTTTCCTTTACTTTCCTTCCGACATGCATGTACATGCATTTCTATTTCATATTTATCTGTTCTTAACACCTCTACAGTTATGTAAATCTTAATTTTCGACAGATACATGTACCAAATGCTGTATATGGGTTATAAAGTAATATCCCATCGTCATTTTATTAGGCAAAATAAATAAATGCTTGCAAAACTTTTGGTTTGGTTGCTCGTTGAAGTATTTTATTTGGTGTTTGATTAAACCCCCAAAATGTCCATGCTATGTAGCAACTTGTCCCTTTTCACTCTTGTCAAGTTTTCCTTTCATGCAAGATAATCGTTAACTTTGAAACAATGCTCGTACATCACAGAAGACAAGCACAGATCAGTTCCCTTAATGATGGATCTGTGACTTGTAAGATCTTGGACGATCATCCTTTGTCATGTTGTATCGGTCATACAACCCAGGCATCAAAAATTAGAATATTTGTCCGCACTTCCCCCTTTTATTTTCTGAAACATAAATAATGCAAGTGAAATTATGTAGCATTGCTTAAAATCAATTACAATCCGTTTAAGAATGTTAAATATTAACCTCACAGTACAAAATGATAAATGAATTTAATGTGCAATTTTTTTCCCCGATATCTTACCAATTGCTATTATGTTAGACTTGGGTTTATCTGTCAAGAAATTCTTGTTCCACATGATTCATCCTACACATTGCACGGATCACTTTTCTTTTTATGTCCTGGTAAATTTTTGGCCACAAAACGACGGTAGAATGTTAGCCAGCGGAAATGCACTAATTTTACAAGAAGATAAGAATAGTTTTTCAGTGTCACAGTCTCATTATTACAAGATACATAGAAAAGATATACACGATTATACAACTTCTGTTCAATGAATAACAAAGATGTATAAGGCAATACAGACAGCATAGGGTCACATGGAAATATTAATCACGCGGGGGTCAATGCGTTTAAAGCAATGCATCTTTCTTCTGTCGATTTTCTTGAATTACAGTGGTACCTTGTTAATCTGGACACCGGTAATCCA